ATGCCATCAATGCAAAGCAAGTGGCTGATAATGTTGTTGTGTGGCTGTATACACCAAAGCCTGGCAAAGATGAAGAGGTGAGTATATTGACATTAGTGCACTGCTTCAAGCAATGATTCACATTTCTGCTTACAATGTAGGTGTTAGGAACCGTGCTCGGACAGAGAAGCAGAGGGGTCAGGGCTTGGCTTCAGCTCTTGTGCTGCGCCCTTAGCTGAGTACATGCCCCAAATTTGGAGCAGAGCCGATAATGTCCGACAATAGGACAGGCAGACCACTTTGATCCACTTTGTGAGTTGGGAGGTAAGAGCTTCTAGTGGTGGTCCAACTAGAAGTGGAGCGGGTGAAGTGGAGGAAGTGTTTTTGGGTGGACAGGGATAGGAGGACTGATTGGGTAGGTCATCTTACTCTCTATGAACTCAAGTTCCAATTCCTTCTGATGGCAATCTTTTTCATGAATCAACACAATAAGCTCATGTGATGTGATATTATCATTTCCATAAGTCACACAAAAAGTTTCCCAGCTTGGCAGCAATGATCCTAACAGGATGCTACAGAGGTCAAGATCAGTTACTGCACTTTGAATCAGGTGTAGGTTCTCTTGGATCAACAATATGACCAGGTATATCAGTGGTCTTGGAAGCACAGGTCTGATATAACTTATTCCTCCAAGTGTAAGCTCCTTGTTAACCTCATAATTCTTTCACAATTTTCAACTGATCCACATCTCTTTAGCTGTGTTAGCCCCTGCAAGGTGTACAAGTTGTGTATCACTTACAAGCAATACCAACACATTTTTCACCTTACAATCTTCCAAGTTCCACTTGGCAATGGCTGCTTTCTTATCATCCAATACAGGATCAGGTCCCACTACCGGTTTAGGAATAGTGCCACTGATGTATCTATCCTGTCCTTTGTCATTGAGGATAGCTTGAACCTTCATCTTCCACAGGATCCAATTATGGTCCCCAAGAAATTCAATATGATAGAGCGACAATATTGATGGTTGTTTGTTGTTGGTCATAATGGTAGGTTTCAGTTAGATTTCATCTGATACATAGCTAAAATTTTATTATTTGCACACAGCAGGGCTCATAACCTCATGTAAATGAGGGATATGAGTGAGAGGTTCGAGATGATGCTAAGAGATAGTGATAGGAGGATAGTTTTTCTCTTGTTATTTTGGACTTTACCATTGTACATATTTATACTACCTATTCCTTCATATCTCAGATAGTCCACAACTCTGCTACTTATCAGTGCACAGACCACATTGCAGGTATGTCAGCTGATTGCTAACTATTACCCCATACAACAACAGTATGGCCTAAGTGTGCTGTTAGGTTCAGCCATAGTATATTGAAATTATCTTGATGAGTATTGATACATGCCTCACATGCATGATATAACCAGTGGTACTGTTAGATACTGTGCTCGGATGGAGAAGCTGAGGGGTCGGGGCTTGGCTTGGCTTCAGCTCTTGCACTGTGCCCTTAGCTAAGTACATGCCCCAAATTTGGAGCAGGACTGATGTTGTCCAATGATAGGACAGGAGGTCTGCTTTGGTCCACTTGGGGGTCAGGGAAGTAAAGGTCACTAGTGGTGGGCCAACTAGTATGCAGGTGGAGAGGCAGAGGAAGTAAGTCAGAGGTGGAAGGGATCAAAGGGGATTGGGGGTAAAGTTTATTGGACAGAGGGGAGTAGAGGTGAAGACTTAAAGCACAGCTCTAAGTCGGAACAAAGGAGCAGAGGTAGCAACAAGGTGAAACTTGTGTCCAGAGTTGAGCAAAGTTCTACAGAGAATTCCCACAGTAGAAACTGGAGAAGACAAGTAATATTAAGACTGGAGACTACAGGCTAAGTATAGGATATTTTATATACCCTAGGTATGTAAGGAGGCAGTGATCAGTAGTACATAGCAGAAGGCTATGTACTGAGTGTACAGTTAGTAAGTATGATTACAGAGGAAAACATAAGAGTTGGAGCAGATATCAATATGTATGTGATGGATCAGAAATCAGATGGCTATAGGAATAACCGGTGATCTAAGAGGATTGGCTATATACCAAAAGGGGATGTATGCACCTAAATGGGGAAATGAGTCCTGTTAAGGTTGTGCTCAAGGGGAGGAGAACTCAAAGGGCTCGGCTTCAGCTCATGCACTGCACCCCTTACCCGAGTATGTGCCCTTAATTTCCAAGAGGTAGGAGGGAAGTCCGACAGAAGTCTGGGTAGGTCCGGAGGTCAGATGCAGGGGGAGTTTGGCAGAACTCCAGAGATTCAAGAGGAACTAGAGTAAGGCTACTATGGAAAAGTCTGAAGTAGAAAGAGAATGGAGGTAGACTACCCTAAGGTAGAGCCAGAGATATAGTCTAAGGAATAAACCCAAAGACTTGGAGGTGGACAAGAGGTAAGACTCAAGTCCAGAGAAACAGAAATGAGCAGGAACTAAGATGATATTCAAACTGAGGAGGTACCAGAGTTTTACAGGAGTTTATATACTGTAGGTATAAAGTAAGTAATCAGTCAGCATAGTGAAAGGCTATGTACAGGGCATGTGGAAAGTCTATTAGTAAGTATGTAATGGATCAAAGAAGTGGAGTCAGAAATGAATACAGGGAGACAGATCAGTAAGCAAGGCAGGAAAGTGTATAACTGGTAACCAGAGAAAAGGAGGCCTTAAAGGAGATATGTGTAATGTTAGGTTTAGATCTGGAGATGAAAATGGAGCACCGGACAGAAAACAGGGCGGAAGTCCAGGCTTTACAGGGGAGGATCCAGAGTTCTGGGTTTAGACTATATGGGATATGACAGTCCAGTTAAATGGAACCGATACAGGAAGTAAACCAACCAAGGTAGTGGAGCAGGTGCACTGGGGTGGGGGATGAGCAGAACAGAAGTAAGGGGAAAGTGGAGTGATAGAGTCAGGTGGAATGGATGTAAGCGGTATTGGGAGCAGTCAGATCTGGTGTATGACAAGTACTTGATTTATGTACTGCATACTAGTATATGCTGTTCTGATTGTTTACTCCTCTTGCACTATTGTTTCAATGTTTACTAGTACTATTCTGTGATGCTTGCGATGTCTGTGAGACCTTGTGTGGATCTGTGTGTGCTTGTTATTGGTGTGAGATCTGTTGCCAAATTAGTAGTTTGCTGATGAGTCCCATGTGCCAGTTGCTACATCATCTGTGGTGCCACGGTCGATTGTTCTGCACCAGAGATAAAGACACAAATCACTCAAGTTTGAAGCAAGGTGCATGATGTCCATGGTCATGCAGTGTGGGATGCGAAGAAAACAAGAAGGGCTAAGGCCCACAATGAGGGGAGGCTTCATAATACCCATTTCTGTTTTTCACAGGTCCAACTGCCATTGATTTGGAGATGCTACAAGCCATTGTAGATTTTCAGTGTAGTCTGAAGAACCTCCTGGAGGAAGTTTGCACATGTCAAGGTCAGGATGGTCACTTGTTATGACCAACGTTCACCAATAATGATGAAGGCGAGTTCACAACCACTAGGACTCGGTCAAAGATGATGAGGAACAGGATAGTATTGAGCGTGAACGTCTAAGTCACTACAACAGTAGAAACGAAGAGGTTAAGTCTAAGGAGTACTTACGCTACCTAGCCTACTCTTATACATAACATTGAATAGGAGTCTGAAAGAAATCAGCCAATAAGAAAAGAGTCGTATGATACTGCGGATGACTAAGTATGACATCATGATATATAAGCGAATGAGTAAGACTGGTTACTAAATAGAAACCCAAGATCCAACTGGTTCTTCTTTAGGAAGCGAGATTGTTCTAGCCCGTGGAGTAGAGGAGCCAATCGGAGAAGCAACAGGTGATATATGACGATGAGTCACGTGACCAGGCTCGGGTACTGGAAGTAGCTGAAGGAAAACCGAGAAATGAAAAATGGTTCATATTTGGGATTCGTGACATCACTACCCTTGACACACCGATCCTGCAGTTTGAGAAGTGCAGGGTAATAGTGTGTGGCACAAATTTTGCACCTGCCTGACTCCACAATAGATGTGGCAGCCATTTTTCCCACTGTGTCCAACCATCCCATCCCAATACATGAGTCCAGGGGCCACTGGTATCAGCAGTTGTGAAAAGGAGATGGAGATCAGAGATGAAGGGGGCATCACGGGATGCATCCCAGATGGCAAGTCCTTCATTTTGAAGTGCTGCAAGATGGTGAATGCCAACAGCGAGGAAGGAGTCTACATTCTTAAGCTTGTTACAGCAATCAGTTCCGTGTCACAATGTTAATGTTAAGCTAGCCATAATTAGAACAAGTCGGCTGTGATATCACTGCCAGTGCCAGTGCCAGTACACATGTTGAGTGGAGGCACTCACCTCCATGACACCCATGCATAAAAGCATTAGGCACCGTCGTACCCGTTATAAGCCCCTGAATGGCAGGTATTTGCAAGGGAAGGGTGTTGATGGAATCTCTGATCAACTGTTTCTGTTCGGGCATCGTCTCGGGCTTGAATTTGTATAGAACTGCGGGTTAGGTATCGGATTCGGACTCGGACTCGGACTCGGAGCCGGCCATCATCAGGTGTACTGGAAATGGAAGTGAACTCATGGATGTGGTGAATGACCATGATGTTGCCGGAAAGAATTTGAAGTACTTCATGTTGACTTGTTGGAATGTGTGATTTTGGTGGTGAGGAAATGCTAGTTGTTGGTGAAGGTACTATAAAACTGCGCTCGGCTGGTGATTAGCGCTTGGATGATGAAGCACCGCTCGAGGATGTGTCAGTCAATGACAAAGATTCGGTGCTGTATGTCAACCCCTCAGACACCCGCACCCCAAAACCCGCAACGCCAACAACCTTGCATACTAAGGGTACGCATCAGAATAGGAAAGACGAAGCGTTGATTTCCATGGGGTGTAGAAAAATACTATACAAGATCACTACTATAAGAAAATGAATGCCCGACGCGTCGCATCACGACATGTATAGGAAAAAAGGATACATCACCAGAGGAACGGAATGATGCGCGCGGGCACTCTCTGCATATATGCGCGGTATTCCGTAGCAACTGCGGGATCCTTCATGATAAGCTCCTCCTACAATATCAAAATAAGTCGACTCCCATGCACACAAAGACAAGATGCTCACCTCGATAGGCATCTTGACAGCGAACGCGGCAGCAGTGATACCAAGTCCCACAAGTGGTGCATAAGACCAGAACATCACTGCAAAAAGCATATCCTGGATGAGCACGTCCCTGATAGCAAGTCAGGCCGTCAGTACTAATATTAAAATCTAACCTCAATTGTGCAACACGACTCACGTGTATAATGGGTGACGCACCACCGCGTATGGACCTGTCTGCACGACTTTAGGCTTCTCGCGTCTCTGGCGAGGACCAGTCAGTTTATGTATTGCACACGTAAGAAATAATAGTACGCACCCCGATCAGCATGCCACTGATTCCCGAGGTGCTTGAACGTAAGTGCGATGAATCTGAGCAACAACACCGTCGATGCGCACGCTGCGACTCTTAGCACCACCTCGGAATCATGTGTCATATAGCTATTAGGTAGGCTCATGCGCTGCATCCATGCAGGCTGCGTGAACCGGTTAAAGGTGACGCAGAGCATGTACGTCACGGGTGAGATGAAAGACGCGATGCCGTGTATCGGGGATACGACCTTGCTGATGAAGGAGGACGGCATTGTGCGGATGGAGCCTGCTTCTGCTTCGGCGACTGGGGCGATGGCACGAGTCGTAGATATGGCATAGTGCATGAATTTTAAGGTGGTGAGGACGGCGAGTCCTTCTACGGCTTGTGGGGGTGGTGGATTTAGAGCGAGGCCGGCGATGTAATACATGCTGGAGTTGGATATTACTTGGTTGTGGACTTTTTTTAGACGCCCATGTGTGGGGTTTATATTGTTCTTTTGCGTCCGGGTCCGAGTCTGACGTGCTTACTAGTAGGAACTCGGTTCTATGACTGATGTGGTCCTCACGACGGTGTCAATGACAAACACGGTGTCATTGACTGACAAAGACGTGTGACAAGTCTCGTCAAGTGAACATCAAGTTTGGGGTATCTTTGATAGCCTGTGCTGCTGTGCAGCCTCAGCCAAGCACCATATTAAGTCGATATCAAAATGGGAGTCGGTTGCACTGAGGCAGTGCAAGATGGACGTTTGCGGTCCTCATGGTAAATGAACTGATCTTTCTGTAGAGTATAATTTCACTCCTATCAGTAGGACGTAATGATAGGAATATTAACGTACGAATACTGATCGCAAGCGTAAGTTACAAGGCCCCTTGAACTTGCCCCGTCGGGGTCTGACTTTAGGAATTGGAAATTCATGAAATGTCAAGTTAACTCGAGTACATATTGATGATGGATTGATGAGCTACCATGAGCGCCAAAAGCTGTAGGAGATCATGTGAGAGGTGTACAGGGTACTTACCGGTGTGAGTAATGTAATCGTGTGACTTGATAGCATCAAATAAGGGATCCGAAGGACGATGCAGGGCTCAATGAAACATGACTAGATGGTTCATGTCCGAGTAGGCGGCGTTGTTGAGGACTGGCGTTCCGTTCTCGACGGCACCGCCAAATGATGATCAGATGAGTTCCGAATTTTTCCGGGAAGGATGAAACCAAGTTTCCACTAGACAGACTTGAATGATCGATGCTTAGTGCTAGGCACAGTATGGGTTAAGTACTTAGGCATGGACACGTGTAAATTGACGGTGTGTCATAAGGATACAAATTTATTGCCAAGAGGAAAGATATTCTTTGAACTGATGGCATCGTCGTCGCTGTCGTTGTCGTCGTCGTCGTCGATGGAGAAGATGAACCCATGGAGCAAGGTTTGTGTTTTTTTTTGAATCAATGCACTGGAATGATCTATTCATGGATGACTTGTCCTGCTGTGTACCACCGCTTACTGCCACGTTAAATTCGTTACTTCGCTGTCACGGCTGCTCATCACCGCTGTCGTTCTGCCCGTCGCCGTCGTCGTCGTGTAGTCGCTTTCTTCGCAGACGACACTTGAATCACCGGCCACGATGCCAATTCATTTCTTCAGTGAATCACCTCGCAGTTTCGGAGACTCGTTCACCCGACGTACAAGCTTGACGCAACAGCCTCGTGAACCCAAGGGAAAGGAAAAGGAGTCTGTCGAGTTTCCCTATGGTGCGTCTTAGGCTATACGTGTCACTCGAGCTTATTCTCGATAGACCAAGATTCCGTTCTACCCAATTTCACGAGTTCTACTATATCTCATGACTCCTCTGTAAGGTATCAGTCTACGTCTAAACCACTTCCAAAGCCTCCAAGAAAACCCCGAACTTCCCTCCTATTTTCTCTGGTTCGCAAAAAGACTAGTTCGACCAGTCCCGGTTCCCAATATGAGCACCCGCTCATCATGCCCGGAATCATCGAGATAACTCGCCCGTATTCATATGTCGAAGAGGAAGAGGAGAGGGAGAGACTCAGAGACGCCGCTGCTCAGAGTATTGGCCTCGTCGACTATGCTACCGAACACCCCGGGGATACTCAGGAGGACCTTCAACCAACCATTGAACCTTCATCCTCTCCAATACCTTCATCTCGTATACCCTCTCCAACTCCAACTCCAACTCTCCTACATCATCTACCACCTTTCCCTACCTCACTCGCTTCCCTAAGCCAACGCATAACCCTCTCCGGCTCATTCCCAAAATTCTGTCCCCCATCCTCCCTCCTCGTATACGCCCTCTCAAAGCAGTGGAAAACAAGATGCATCGTCCTAACAACCGCAATCGATGGACGCGCCTCACAGGCAGTCACTCACCTCCATCTTTTCAAATCAAACCTCCTCTCTTCCTCAGAACTTCACCGCTTACCTATAACCCAGGACACAGCTATCTACGTCGCGGAGCAGGCACCCACCATAAACTCCTCTACCGCCCGGAACACAACCCGCAGAAGAGGCAGCGGAGGAAAATCAAGTGGCAGCATCGTCGCTATAGAGCAGGGCGAGATCATTTGGCATTTCGAAATGCAGGATCCGAACGAGAGACAGAAGTGGATTGGTGCTATAAAGGCAGTTGTCCTGGGTCAAAGGTGGGTTGCACTTCGTTTCTCCGGCCCTCCTGGTCGCTAGCTCATGACGCCCGTGTCTTCCAGATCCATGCGCGCAGGTCTCACTGCTTCACCTCACGTCCTCAGCGGGCACGAACCCCGCGGGGACATGGATGTCATGCTCTCCATGCGACTCCAAGCATCACTATCTTCCGCCGCCTCCCCTATATCACCCGTCACCTCACCCCGCACCTCGTCTCCCGCACCCGTATCAGCAAGTACTACCCCACCCATCTCCCAACCCACATCTCCAATTCGCACCTCGCTATCCCTCGAAGGCCTGCGTTCCCAGACGCACTCTCCAACACCTAGCACATCTACAAACACAGAGCTTTTCACTCGCGGGTCAAGCATCAAATCAAAATCCCAAAGCTACAACAACGCACGCAGATCAGGCTCAAGCTCCGGTCCAGCCTCTGGTTCGTCCTCCCCAACGCAATCCATCCACTTGCACTCCAAGCGCTCGGGCAACTTATCCATTGCAATAATCAACTCACCAACCCATTCTACCAAATCCTCCACATCTACTACGAAGACCATCAAGGGCATGTTTACCCCGAGGTCCCGTTCGCCTTCCTTGTCTCGCGAGCGAGAGGGTGATTATACAGAAGAGAGCTTTGGGACGGTAGGGAGCAGTTTGATGGGTATCGGGAGTGGCATGGGGAGCATCAACAGGAGCGGTTCTCCAATGTACCGCGCCGAATCGCCAGTACCAAGCATAGCATCCTCAGGACGTGACGGCTCAAGCGTGCACGTGCCATACGAAAGCCTTCACAACGGGAACGGGAACGGAAACTCGAGCAACGGCCTAGGTAGCGCCAGCATCAACGGAATCCCAGCATGCGACCTCAAGATTGTCAAAGAAGACGAACGCTCAGACTGGTCTTGCCCATACACTCACGCGCCACCGATTCACGCGCCATCGCTTTCCCACCCGCATTCTCATTCTGCATCGCATTCGCATTCACTCCATCCACCCCCAAGGTGTAGGAAGCAGACTTTGGTGCACCCGCTCGCAGACGTGGTGTGCCAGCAAATGGACTCTGCACCTAGTATCCAGACTTCTATTGAGGATCCTACCGTCACTCCACGCGCTGTCACGCCCACGCCTATGCCCAACCCAGCGCGTCTGTCCGTACACACCATATCTACCACTACCTCCGGCTCAGGCGTCGAAAGATCAGGCTCTACATCCTCCACCCCCTCCCGCCGCTGGTCTCGAACCCTCCCCAAGCGGTTAACACCCCCAAGCGGGCCTCTCCCGCTCACGCCACCACAAGCGCCATACGAGTCTGAAATGAGCGTGAGCCCTAGCCCTGCGAGTTCAGATAACCCTGGTGCTGCGTTCTGGAAACGCGCGAGCGGGTCGAGTAGTTTGAGTAGTGCGAGTGCGAGGTCGAGTCTTGTCCACCCCTATCCTACGCAGCGCGCGAGTATGGTCGGTCCTTTCGGTACCGGTGTTGGTGTTGGGATTGGTGGTGGAAGTATAGGCGTAGGGAGTAAACGCCGCTCAATGCCCCCTCCCCGCCCCGCCCCAAGCTTCGCGCCTCCACCTGCGCCCGAACAACAACCACAACCACAACAACCACAACAATCCCAAAAAACACGGTTCCGAACGTCTGTCGCACAGCGTGCTCTGAGGCTCAGTTTGACTGCACCCCGTCCACCACCATCAGGTGTGCTACCCCCACGCCCAGACGAACCTGTATACACACACCATCGCCGGAGTTCGAGCAACAACAGCATAGAGATCCCTCCTCGACCTGATAGCGCTGCTTCTTCGCGGAGCATGTCGATAAAGCAGCGTTTGCGGATTCTTAGCGCCCCGTCGCCTGTCATCGCCCCTAACACACTCCCACTTCCTGATCACTCCGAAGCTATCTCCATAAGCATCATGCCGCACGTCATCAGCAGTAGCAGTAGCAGCAGCATTACTAGTGGGAACAGCAGCATAAAGCATTCACGACCCCCAACGCCCCTCCTCCCAGGCACGCCAATAACGACGATGCAGAACCATCCAGACTTTTTACAATTCACGACGCCTACGCAAATGCTTCCCTCCCTCCCACCAAGGAACCCGCTCCGCCCACCACCGCAGCGTTTGCCGAGTGCACCTGAGATTACTTCGCTTTCTCCACCTCCGCGGAGGGGGAGTAAGCAGCTTGTTGCGCAGTACCTTACTGATAGTGGGAATGAGAAGGAGAAGGGGGATGAGAGCGGGAGGGAAGGGGATGAGGAGAAAGAGATGGTGGATTCAGATTCAGAACTGCCTGATTTCTCCGATATTCGTGTACATGCCGGTTCGGTGGTATCGCTTGGGTTCGTAGCGTTGGAATGATGAGCTTCGATGAACTTTCATCTCCCCTGAGAGATATATCCCTTCATGCTGTAATACACATCGTTTTTTTTCAAGTAGTCGCAATACATACAATCTAACAATGTACGCATACATTACATATCCGCCGGCATGCAGGAGGGAGTGCTAGTGCTGTACTATGGTTATTTATCGTTCGTGAGGGGATCCGGAATGGGCGGCCCTGTTGGAATTACTTAGATGCCTGAGTCTTCCGATCGTAACGGTGCTTACGCACCAAGTCCCCGATTCCGAATGTCGGTATACCCCTGGCTAGCTTGCAAACGAAGGGAATTTGAAGCTACACCATATGGGATCAGCTGATACATATCATAACTGACGCACAGGGAATATATCATGCTCCTTCCCACCACTGCTGGAGAGGTTCGAGGCGGTCTTCTATGGTAAAGTTAGATGTTGTTTCCTGTGCCCACGAATGAGGTTGTGGTGAGCAACTAAGAACTCGCTTCAACTCTTTACCTTCGCAGACCACCTCGACCTCTCCAGCGGTGGTGGGAAGGTGCCCTGGGAGCATATCCGTGATGTTCAGACGTGATTAATGTAGCATATATCATACTTTTTATTGTCCCTCATCGTCTCGAAAAGCGCACTCACGATTGTTCACTTCGAGTACAAGCGAAGGCCTGGAAGTCACTTGAGTCTGAGTAGCCCAACATGGAAGGCATCTGGATACCAGGCTCCGAATCCCCGTTCCATCAGACATTTAGACCACTTGCTCAACAGTGCAGCGGCGATAGATCTTCGGAACGCCAGGCACGTAGGAAAGTAGGTACCCTGTTCTTCCCAAGATTTGGGAGCCGAAGTACTTCAGAACGGTAACAGGTCATCTACGATTCGGTGAATTTCTCAAGGAAGAAGCTACATAATGGATGCGATTCCCGTACGCAGCAGATTCGAGCCGAGATTGACCTTGCTTCGCAGGGTGATATCTTGTTCCACACCAAATTGCTGGCGAATAGACCTTGCTTCACAAGAAAATCTGCTGGCATTGCAGATATCATCTGAGGATTTCAGGTGGATGGGTTGAAGTTTGTTCCTACATCTCCATGAAGAACGACATTCAGCACATAAAAACGAGTCGTCTTCCTACTGTTCCCTTCAGATTTATTTGATCCCATATTGATCGCATCCTCATAAACAATGCGTTTATCCTTTGTCCTCGCGGTTGTTGCTGCTTTGACAACATCAATATCTGCCAGTGTCGCTGACAGTGGGGGATGTCCTGTCTTTTGCATAAATACCGCTCAATGCAAAAGCTGCCCCAAATGCGTGAGTACGAGTAGTTTGCATCCTGGATTTGACCACCTGACTCACCGGCTTGATAGGAATTCTATTTATGCGGGGAATAGTGTGGCAGTGAGTCGTGTTTGTGCTTTCGCATCGGTGCAGTGTGATTGATGGCACGACGCGTGACTTACTAGTAGTTTGTTGCTGAGTTGATCAATGTGCTTGCTTCTGGACAAATTTTACTGCCGCTCAAGCAATGGAGATCTTAGAATAGAGGAAATCTCAAACACTTTGAATACATAGAATATGACTTGAAGTACTTACGATGCAATTTCATACTAGCCTCGTTTGTAAGCTTGAACATAGAAACCCTCGATGACACCACGACTTTTCCCGTCATAGGCGCTATTTACTGGGTGTCATGGATGCATTTTTGGCCTGCACCGAGCCGCTGGGGTTTATCATGTAGATGGTGGTATATATGAAAAATTAGTCTCCCCAAGCCAGACCTTGAAAAACGGAAGATAGTCATTGTCGAATTGCGAAAGCTCAAGATCCAGAACGGCACTTGTGGGGGTGAGCCGTACTGCTTGGAGCTCGAGTGGAGTGCGCACATGGCGTCGACGCGATTGGATCCGCGGGATCAAACGCTCCGTGCGTGTAGATGATCGAGGAAGCCAACTTCGGAGACATATATGTTCTGGGAAATTTCTGGGTAAGCAGCAACTCCTGAACTTTTACCATTCATCTTCACGGTATGGAGCTGATAGACGGGGAAGCGGTATAATCCAATCGAAGAAAATTTTGTGGAGAGTACTAGCAGCGTTTTGCGAGGCGCAAGTTCCAAGTGGATGACATTACATTACAAAACTGTAAAACAGCCATCACAGGGCGACGCACCCTGTGGCCCGTTACGGAGATGTTCGGAAGAATAAGAGCTCGAGTTTGCAGGCTGATCTGACCAACCTAACATCAATAAGCCCGGCCCCGTCCTCGACGCCCAGACAATTGAACCCAGTTTCAGATGCACAACGGACGAGAGTTTGACGAAGACGAGTGGCAGCATCAAATGAACTGGCAAAAAAAGAACAAAATTTTACAAAGGTGTTGTGAACGGAGAGAGGTGGCGAGGAAGGGGACAAATGGGGAGCCGCCATCGTTGAGCGTTGTTGGGAACGCGCCCCGACGGACGACTAGAGATTTCGGTTTTTTCCATGTAACCGAGGCTCGTACGAACAGGCATTGCTGAAGGTTTTTAGATAGATGCCAGAGTGTGGTCAAAGATGCGATGGTGTTATATAAGTATAGGAGCGCATATTTGATAAGTGAGTATAAGATAGACCGCAGTCATACTTCGCTTGATCATGTGATCAGATTGTGACAATTTCGTGACAAAAGGGCCAGAATCGCATCTCAACCTTCAAATTGTCTTTGTTCGCCAAATTTAAACCAAGGAAAGTTTAGTATAAAGACTGCCGTCAAGCCTTAGATCGGTTCACTACCTTTTTCGCAACCGCATATCCCCTCCCGTTGGCAGTTGCAGCCCAAGTTCACGAACATCAGTGGGTTCTGCTTGCCTTTTGGCTGCGTTACGGTCAAGTTTGCCAGTGACAGCCCCTATGAATCTAAGACTTCTATTTTGCCCCTCCATGATGGCTACCAAGTCCGAAGTCATCGATGATAGTAGGTTCGTTACTAACGCACCTCCCTCGTATAACATCGCTATCTCTACGTCTGCGTCATCAGCAGATTCCGTCCAATGCAGACGACCCTCTATATTTTCCCTTTTGCGAACCAAGTAGAAACGAAAAGAGGTTCTATCTCGCATCCGTGATATTGTCTCCACTCCCGATTTCATCCCTTCCTCTGTCGCCCCAAATGTCAGCCCCTGTGCTGCTGCTCTCCATTGCGGTGTCCACCCACCTCTTGCAAACACTCAATATCGAGGGTCACACCGCGCTATATTGGGCAATCTTGAATGACCGGCGAAAAGCCTTGGCGGCGTTTACTGCGTTCATTCCCCAATTTTTATCTGTTTGGTCTTTCGATCTGCGTCTCGCGTCCATGATGACTAGTGACCAGGCCTTGTTTACGCAGCTGAATTTGAGACATCGTAATTGCAAACGCATAGCAGTCCCTGCCTGTGAGCTCGTTGATTAATGTGTTACGCACTAAACACCCAAGGACGGCCTTTGAGACGCTCTTTTGGTTGTCCGCCGGATGAGGTTGAGGTGCACGAAGGAGAATACAAGAGCCAGTTCATTGCCTGCATCTGCATGAGGAAGTTTCAGAAACGCCTGCGCATCACACAGGATTTGGGCATAGAATTTGTTGCGCGGTGTATGTGGAACTATTAGTCATCTCAGTTCCTCACGCTGATAGCCTATGGTATTCCTGCAGGACGCATATGGTGGTTGCGCTTTCAAATGGAGGATGGCAGGAGGTGGCGTTTCGTGTGCGGTCTCTCGCAGCAAAGCCGTCTGGTGCAACTATACTCTAGTATTGCGATCGGGGCCCACCCTGGTTGTGCCACCTCACCTGAAGAACTGGTATGGCATTGGCGTAAGAATCCAAACCTCCTTGTACCGCGGTGGGCTTAAATTTTTCGAAGCCATGGTGGACCGATAATTTTACGATTCCCTAAGTGACCCTCCACCGCCCCATGATGGGTTATGCATAACTAAACACCCGCCACCCGATGGGGAGGTTCGCTCGTGTTGAGCGATTACAATATTATGGTCGAGTAAGTCTTCTCATCTCGATTCAAGTTACAGGATGTTTGGAGGGAACAAACATATTTTGTGACTCTTATTTGACGACTTGCGAAGTTGTTTTAACACCGACGAGGCAGACATTAAATAAGAACAACTTCCTCTACCCGATATTGCCAATATGGCATGCGACCAGGCGTGCGTTCCACGAAGTTGAAGAATGTGAATAAGTCGTCGCGCGTGCATATAATACACAATCTGCAATGTACGCATATAAGTATCCGCCAGTATGAGGGAGTGCTATTATCGGCAACCCCGATGGAATGAGATGTCTGAGTCCCCTCCTTCCGATCGGTCATCATCTTTCGAGCGGAACAAGCACGTCCATCATTCTGGACAAGCCCTGACACCGAATTTGATGTTCTGACAGGTATGAAGTGCGGGGAAAACAACATAATATCGTGTGGATTAAACTAGTTCGTACAAGTGAGGTTTTCGGATGGCTACATGAAGACAGCAAGTTAAACAACGACTACTAATAAATCAAGCGAAACTGTTTTCAACATCAGCGCTATCATCGCCTTGCTCAAGGTTCGCAAAGGTCAAGAATGCGGCGGGACGGTGATCCTCAGCCCAGAACAACAACGGCGTGTCTAGCGTTACAGCATAAGACAAATTGCCCGACCACAGCTGGGTAAGACCAATGCCGTAGTTCCAGACTTTGCCCTCTGGCACGAGCGTCATGCCGAGGATACGGTCAGACAACAGGAGCTGCACCCGCTCCGACATGTTGGGGTTGAAGCCAGGCGGGTTGGCAGAGTTGTCCACATTCTTGCGGCCCCACTCGAAGCCGGGCACCGTTAGCTGATGAGCAGACAGCGAGACCGAACCAGGGGTGAAGGACGCTGCGATACAGATCGACGAGGAGCTCCACTCTGGATGGTCAGCCATCAACTTGGCTTGAGTGGTGACGTCTGTGGGAGATAGGTGGCTGAGCTCAAGGGCTTGGGTCTTGACCCATCCGAGAGGCTCGAGATCCTTGAGGAGGAAGTCATCCTTCGGCAACTGGTTGGGCAACTCAACGCTGTTGTTGCTTCCGCGCTGAGGTACCCATACAACTGCTTTGATCTCCTTGACCTGCTTGTTGTCCGGCGGCGACACACCGTACAGGAAGGCTGCAACTTGGGTGCGAAGATCTGCTGCGGTAATGAATGCCCGTAGGATGTTCTTCGGCAACACGTAGGTGTACGAAGCAGCGTCGTCCTTGACATCATCGTTGGATACATAGATGTGCTGGAGACGGAGGGGAAGATGCGTAGCAGAGATGGCACGGACACGCCAATCAGACTTGCTGCTAAACACCTGCTGCTCGTAGTTGGTTGTAGTGACGGTCTGGATCGTGTCACCGTGGACGTTGGTGGTCTGCGTTTGCACAGCGGTGACTTGACCCTGCGCCTCAGAACTCTTCTCAAGCTCAGCCATCTGCTGGCGTTGTACGGAGGGAGCGGCGATTTCTTGACCGAGGATGATGTCACGGATTTCGCTGGCGGTCAAGGACGCGATGTTGACGCTGTTCCGCTTGCCGAAGTCCTAATCTCTGGATGAGTGAAAGTTCAAGAAAATGTCCTGCTACTTACAGCCAAGATAAGATCCTTCATTGCGACCTCAACCTTGATCCACTCATCGTCTGAAAGAGTGGGCCAGACGAAGTGCGGCTCTGTGATGGTCGACTTGTCCGGGTGCAAAATAATCTTCGCTTTCTCGTTGTTGACGTGCAAGCCACGAAGGAGGAGGATAAGACGAGAGAAGGCGGTGTAGCTGGACACGGACTTGAGCCAATCATCGTACAAGCTGAACAAGACCATCTGAGGTTGTGTAGCGCGCTGCAGGAAACAACATCAGCAATGAATAAGCAAATACGAATAAACTAACTGACCAAGATCAAGTCTCCGAACTTCTCCATCTTCATGCAAGCCTGGAAGGGCAGTTGCAACTCACTTCCCTTGATGACGATGTTCGGGAAATCGAGCAAGTGAACCTCGAGAGGGTCCAACATGCCCTTGCGAGTGACGATGACCTGCTTCGGCTGTTCTTCGACAGGCAGCGAACGGACCAAGGCAGCCACTTCTTCGGCAGTCTTCCACTTCGCGAGCTGACCGAGACGCTTTTGACCAGCCCATACGCTGGTGTGGATGATCTTTAGGAACAACTGCCCAGAACGTGGGTTGAAGATGAAGATGGCGCCGTTGATAGGTTTGGTCGTCAAGTTGCCCTCGAACGTTTTGTGGATAGTGACACGGTACACGTTAGTGTCGTCGACGAACCAGATGATCTGGTTTGAGAACAGCTCCGAGTAGTTCTGGCTGTTGAGGTAAGGCTCCGTAGGCTCAGAAGAGTACAGCTGAAGACCCTTGCGGATACGCTCGCGCAAGACGTGGCATGCAGGATTAGCCTTCATGATCTTGGCCATTGCTTGCTGGATCAAAGGCTTCATACCGGGGAACCAGTTACCGTAGGCAGACCATAGGTTATATGCCAGATCCATCCCGATCATGACACCAGTTGGCGAGGGGTAAATACTCATCGAGTCGGACACGTAGTCCAAGAACTTGGCACGAGTGTACCGTTCGATGTCGTGAGTGTCGAAATCGCCCCAACGAAGCTGGACGTCGATCCAGAACTTGTTGCTGGTCGTGCCATCCAAAACGTCCTTATTCTAAAAGAAACGCGATCAGATTAAATTCCGTAAACGTACGAGACGTGACCTACATCTGTAACCAGTGACGGTCGAGAGATGTTCCACTTGTAGGCTGAGAACAGCAGGATATCGGCGCAAGACGAATTCATCTTGTAACTCTTACGGGGATGAATAGTCTCCTTTTGCACTGTCTCGATCTGGAGAGGCTCTAGCTCCTGATCGAAGACTTGACACAAGTCCATCACCACACTCTCATGAATCTTCTGCCACAAGTGAGCACGGAAGATCTGGATCAGCGAGATCTTGAGGGTTGGAATCTTGCCGTGCATGAAAATACCCGTCAGGTCAAGTTGGACCTGGAAACCAACATACACATTGGCGCGGTTAATGGTCGGACTCCACCATAGCGTGAACCGACGGTTAGGAATCTGGTTAAGACCGGACCTCTGGGCGTTAGTAAGTTTCTTGTATCGCATTGACTCCTCGAACCCGGACGCCTTCTCCCAGAAGAGACCCTCCCAGGTGGGGAAGTAAGTGCCTTTGAAGAGCGTATGCTCTAAGATACCCTCCACACCACCCAGTGCAGCGATGACATCCACACGGTAGTTGTTCAATTGCCAGAGTTTTCCATCGTGGCGCTGAGACGTCCACCAGAAGGGGTTGCTGTAATGGACATTTCGTTAGCCGACAATTAACCCAACAGCTGGGGAACAACTCGCTGTTTCAGTAGCTGGTATTGTTTCCAATCCGTACGCACACGCCAACCCCGGTCATATGCCAAAGTGTGGCGATCCTTCTGGAAGAGGGTGTTGATACGAGGGATACCGCGGTCCCAGCTATCTTCCAGATCTTCGAGGGTGAGGCGACGGTTCTGGGCATTGGCTTCCTTTCGCTTCATGGAGTATTCGGACCAAACACGAGCCGAATCCAAGAACTCGGCCTCCCATGGCTGAAGGTATCTGTACAAGTTCGGAATTAACTGGTCCTCCTCGTGGGTCATACCGGCACGGAAGTGCGTAACTTTTCAAATGAACTAACGTGAGCGAGATAATGGTTATCAAAAAGAGAGCGAACGAACCTCCAACGTCAGTTTGCTTGGACCATCGCAGATCGCTCTGCGGGATGAGAACGTGACCCATCGAAAGCATTCCAAGACCACCAAGCTCCTTCGGCGTGTAGAAGACGACAGGAGGGAAACGGGACGGCATTTTACTGTTCAAGCCGATCTTGACACGGGTTTGAATCTTGTTCTCCGCCTTGACAAGGGAGTCCAATAGCTCGTTTGTGTGGATGACGGCTTCGCGATAGTAGGTCATCAAACCAATCAGTGCAGTATTCCACTTGTTAACGATCTTCGAGAATGTGGTGGAGCCAGAGCTCATGAGGACCTGGCGGATACGGTTGTTGAACTGTTGGACACCGTCGTCGGAAACGCGGAGAAACGCCTGCGCAGTTCTCTCTTTCGTCTGCTCGTTGGTGAGGTTCCACACAGCGTCCTTCAACGAGAACTGCTCGCCACCCATCGTCCTAATCTTGGGCAAGATCCGGACCTCAAAGCCACACATCGAGAACAATAACTGTGGGTTGTCTTTCGAGTAGACACTGACAAAGGTGTCTTCCCACTCAATGGTCGTGAGCGAGCGCGGTAAGCTGTTCTTGACGTTCCAGAAGACCGCTCTTCCGAGGTTGACATCATGCTTGATGAGACGCATACGACAATCTCGGGGCCAGCAGCGCTTGTTGTTGTACCCAATCACGTTGTTGTTCGTCGGGTCAGGGTTGGCGCTGAGGTACCGCTGGATGAGGTCCCTTGCCTCATCAGCGCTGAAGCGGAAGAGAATGTGCAAACGATCAACGTAACGGGAGTACAAGCGGATGGGGTGGCGAGTCTCTGTCGCAGAGTCGCGGTACTGCAAGAAATTATTGGGCATCTGGGGAGGACCCGCCATCTCACTAGCTCGCTGCAAGCCAAGAATGAGAAGATCGAGGACGAGACCGTAATACTGGAAGACGAAGGCGGAGAACTGAAGACCGCGGATGAGACCGAATGCATTCGTGTGCGCCATGTCCTTGTAAGTCAGCACCGTGTTGTTCTTTGCAGTGATGTAATCCGCCAGATTGTGATCAAGAATGAGACGGAGGAGACGGTTCAGGAGGGTTAGGTCGATCTTCTCGTACACCTTGGAGAATACGGTCTCCATCATCACGTTGCACTCGCCCTCGCTCGTCTCCCAAATGTCCGTCAAGTTATTGATGCCCTGGCACCACTTGTACACGAGCAATGGCGGTGGCTCCGTATCGGCAGGTTTGATCCATGCAGGGAACAACCCTCTCTTATCGGCCTCGAAGAAGAGGAACTGATCAAGATACTGTAGCACTAACGTTAGCACAGTATAAAAGGGAGTGATATACTAAAACTTACAGCATCTGTGATCTTCTCAACGGGCTCGATGTCGTAGCATGGAATGAGTTTATCGTAGGTGTCGAAGAACTCGATACCAGACTCCTTGAACGCCCGCTGAGTGAGAAGCAGTCTTTTAATGCGCGACAGACATTCGTGCGGATTGTCGTACGCCTGCTCGATGAGCGCAAGCTCTTCACGCTGCGACTGGTTAAGACGACCCTTGACTGAGTAAGCCTCCTTTAGCTTTTCGAGTGCAAGCACTAGCAATTTCGTGTCGTGCTTGTATGACAGAGGACTATTGAAACGATGAGTTCGTCACTTACAAAGCTTGACAAGCACACTTACGGGAATGGGATAGGAGCAAATTTGCGACTCTCTAACCAGTGAACGGTCGCCGTGTAAATTGCAACGGCTTCCTCCGCACTGATGTACGGTCCATCCTTCAAATACCCGTGCTGCCTCTCCTGTTCTGCCTTCAAATACAGACGAGTCAGCCGGCCCAAATTTTTCTTCACAACTGCCTTATCAACCGTGGCACCCCGCCGGATACGTTCCCGGTTATAGTGTGCAACCGAGCACCACCAATCGGCCTTACTCTTGATGTATCGAAGGATGATGTTCTCAATCGCAGTGGGCATTCCAGGAACTTTCCACGGAATGTTTGCCTTCCAGCAACGCCACGCCTCCGAGAGATGCTGCAGAATCGTCTTCGACTTGTTCTGCTTGATAGACTCGGGCATCATGTCAAGAATGTCGTGCATGACCGCCGCGCGTAACTCAAGGTCGTAGTGAGACTCTACACGCTGCTTTGTTACGGTCTTCGCGATGCCTTTGCTGTTGCGTCCCTCGAACTGACGCGCGAGAAGGTTACCGAGCCAACGCTCAAGTAGCGGTACGATGCCTCGCATAAAGAACAGCCAGACACGCCAGCCAGGAGCCCAAAAGCCGTTTCCAGGGCCCTTGCCTACAGGACCAGTGTTGAAGCGGTAGTAGATCAAGTGCTTGAGATCTTTTGTCATGCGAACTTGTCTCATGAGCTGGATGAGTAAAAGTCAATAAAAGAAACTTCGCCTGTAATAGGAGTTGTGCGAACCTTGTACTTGTACCGGTACATACCAGTCAAGGCACCGATGTGCGCAAAGATGTACTGTAGCGCGTCTGCGAGCTGGAAAGCATCAACATTGCCAAGGCGGAACTGAACATGGGCATCAACAACGAGCTTCGTGAGACGCAGAATCTCGCGACACAAGTGGAAGGCGTTTCCGAAACGAGACTTTTTGCGCTCCTTCGTGGTGAGCGTCTTCACTGGCTTCAAGTTCATGTTGTAGTCGAGGTGCAAGTAGTTCAAGTTCTGAAAATGGAAATTAGCTTCGATCTACCGCAATTTCTACCAAAGCTTACCTTTCTGTGGATGAGGAGGTTAAGCATGTTGTAGCCTTGTCTGCAGACCTGCAAACCGGCTTCAACCCAGTCGAGCTTTGTCGTCTGGAAGAACTTCGTCGCCTTCAATTGCCGGAAGAGATTCTTCTTAGTCATCGCCTTCTCAGGCCGACTCTTGAGCTCGTTGAGAACGAAGCACTTAAGCAGCTTCTGATACGATACGCGAACTTTGACTGGCTGGTTGGGAGGACAGTGCTCCAAATACCAGTTCTTCACCAAGGGTATATCCTGCGCACGACGCATGCGACCAGAGCGCCGGTTATAAGGCTCAGGCGCCCACCATAGAGCGATACCATCAGCAGTGAGGTCATTCTCCAGTGGCTTATCCTCAAGGAAAGGCTGCACTTCATCGGGTAACTCAAAGTCATCGTCGTCAGCGCCGTTCGGACCGAAAATAGAGTCTTCGTGAGAGACGAGCGGTGCGTTCTTTGGAGTGGCGCCGCGCAGGGAGATAGGGTTAATGAGGGGGTCGAAGTAGAACGCGGGTAAGTCTGGATCATCTGTACGAATATATACGTTCTTGGGCGCATGATAGGGGGAGAGGCGGACGGAGCGCGGGAGGGAGTTGTAGAGATGCGGGAAGGCCACCTTGTACTCGGTACGGATTTGTTGACGAATAATGACTTTGTTGACATCATTGAACTCGTTCCAATCCTCGTCGAAAGCATCCATGTCACGGTACAGCGGCTCAAACTTCGGCCCTCCAGGAATTGCTAAGTTGAGAGCTTTTGCGGTAAAGAAAGATTTCTTGTCGAACAGATAGCTTGCGTTATTATCAGGTTGATCTGATAACAGGGTTCTCCCAAGACGATACAAGTTCGCCATGACAGGTAACGTGAGCTGCCAATAGCGATATGAGGGACCGTTGACCGCAGGTGTGTCCACCAGCGGCTTTGGGTCGTAAAACCAATCAATGATGGCAGAATCTTCTTCCGGGTCGAGTTCTAGCTGAATGGCTTCAAGAGGCTCAACATCCAACACGTTATCACCATAATCCAATGGTGGCTCTTCGTCATCGAACGGTGGGAAGCGCATACGCTTGAAATGCCTGCGGTCACGCTTCTCTCGACGCATGGCTAGCCACATAGAACTCCATTGCGCATGATAGACAGGTTCGATAATGCGGGGAATCTCATTGACGAAAGTGATTGCGCCAGTGATGTGATAGAGGACGGGTACCTCACGAACCTGCTCCCAGGGGTACGGAATGTTCTCGAGCAGCTTCATTACAGCGTGAGGAACATATTTCAAGGCACCAAGGTGGACACGTTTATCATTGCGAAACTTGCGATTGCTCATGTCACCATGGTCCTTGATAATTTTACGGACGTGCTCCGGAGGCAGGTCCTACACGATCATTGCTTCAATACGTGTAAAATTGCATACCAACTGAACGCACCTGTTTGCCCATATCAACGTATCCTCCTTTGCGTTTCTCGCCGTAGCGCTTCTTCTGCATGGAAACCCACTTCTGCGACTTTTGTGCCAAAACTTCAGGAGGCATCTTTGAGGAAGAAGCCTGCGTGAAACCTGGTGGTGGGGGCATGCCTGGTGGTGGAGGCGGCAAGCCCGGGGGAGGGCGAATGAACGAGCTCATCGTCGATGTTGAGGGCGACGGTGAAAGTTTGGTAGCTGACTAATTACGAGGGCATTCAACTTTTTGGCTTCGAGCTCCGACCTCTCGCGGGGTGCGAAAGGTGCTTAGTCATCAGCTATTTCGACTACTGTAGTACCCTGCTGTTCCAGTGTTGTGTAGCTGATGGAAAGGCCAAATAACAGCACACCGAGATTAGTTCTGATAGATGTCATGATGTGATACTTGGGCCAAGTTTGGCTGGTGAAGAGGGGGCATTTCTCAGGGTCTAACAAAATCTCTTGCTATCGGAACTATGAGGGGGCTGCACGAAACTCGCTAATCGTTTGTACCGATGAACTGTTCGTGTTCGTGTTGTCTGCTCGTAGATTTACTCATCTAGCTCGTCATAGATCTTGCGTACGAACGCATAGAAGTATTGCGAGTATCCTGCCGTCGAATCATGGTATCAATGCACAAAGTCCACAAGTAATGAAATGATGAAAATGGATAGACTGAAGGGAAAGGGGTCAATAGGTATGCAATCAATGAGAGAAGAGCCTCACAATCTGTTTAGCCTGATTTGCCCTTCTTGTACGTTCCGTATGGTCCCACTGTGCCTGGTGCCCCACCCAGTATTTTCTTTTGTAGTTGCAGAGGCTGGGAAGGATGCTTGCTTGATCCAGGACGCGATCCAAGTAGGCGCGAGCTGTCTACTGCATAATCTGGAACGTTCCATTTAACATCAGCTTCTATCTCCTGTACCTCCATCCCCAGCATTCTCCGCAATACAGCGTTCTCCCGTTCCAAGCGTGCGAGCTCACAGTCCCTCTCGAGAGACCAGTCCTTCTTTTCTTCGAAATCAAACTCTTCCGCATCACCTTGCCTTGCCTCAGGCGAAGGAGTATCAGCAACTTCGGCATCTTCCCCGTTGAGTACGCGCATGAGGTGACGCAGCGTGTTTGATATCCGCCCGAGGGCCGCGGATTGGGCGGTGCTACCCGACAGCGCCCGGAGAAGGTCCTCCGACTCCCTGGCAATAAGCTTCGATTCGTACTCACGAATGAGAGCGAGCTCGTGCTCTTGAACGTCACGCTGTGTATATTAATTACCGCGAGCAACAGTGTGTAGGGTGGCGGATCAAGATGAGGGGAAGGAGAAAGAAGACGTATTTCATCAATGAGCTGCCGTGACATAAATGTATACACGTACAGCTCTTGTGCGGAATGCACTCATAACGCTTTCCAGTGTCTGCTCGTACTCTCGAATGAGCGCACCAAGCTGTTTGTTGTCGTGCTGCAGCGTCTGATTCTCAGCTGCAAGAGAGGCATTCATACGCTCTAGTTCTGCGTCGTACACATCTGTGTTCAAGCAAAAGAGTCCAGTGAAATTGTATCAGCAATGAGTAGAACAAACCTTGGACCTTGTCGAGGTTGAACCTGCGGCATGGTCAGTCTAATCTGTAGATACCACTCGACATCCACGCTCCCACCTGCGGAGGATAAAACCCGTCTGTGTATGTGCTGCTTGAGTCTATGACTCTGTCAATTGAGGTTTTCCGACAGTATAAAAAGGAGGCAAAACCTTTACAGCACCAGCTGATGCATGCAGTGAAATTGATATGGAGCGGTTCTGTGTAAGCTGCTCAGAAAGTTCTTGGATGGTGTTGAGCAAGCGAATAAGATCGTTCTCGCTGTTTCCGTCGACGATCGTCATGTCATGAAGGCAAAGGACTGGAGGGGGGTCGTATGGCGCCACACGGAGGGGTCACATTTGTTCAAGTTACACTTTACATTGAGTTTACTACACTAGGTCTCGGGTCTGCAAGTTGCAACAATTGTGCTAAGCACTTCTGCCAATTTCACGCAGCCCGCCGCATCGACATTAGGCACCTCCAAATTATCTTCCGAGTCTGTTGCAACCCTTGAAACCCTTGGGGCCCGAGGCCCTTGACACGCCGTTACTCATACTATCACAGCAGAATCTAGATGCATCGCTTCGGCGCTCGTAATTTTTCGAACCTCCTTAAGGAACCCACAAGAACCCGGGCCCACCAGTCCGAATCATGGTTCCTGTGCTGTGTGTACTTACACGTTCACTCAGGATTGACTCAGGACACGAAAACACTAGTATCAAAGCCGCAATATTGCCTCCGTGCCGCGCTGGCTTTCGCTTCATTTCGGCTTTACTCAACTGTAAGTTGAGTATATACCTCCAGAATATAGACTCGGTACTCGGTACTCACTGGATTCGACCGTGCACTGTTTGGTATGTGAGCTTATTTAACGCAATAGTCAACTTATCTTCTAAACCGCGTATATTTCCATGCTCAGATCTCTAGATGATGACCATCTACCGAGTTCGGTCACCGCAACAGCCTAGATCGTCACGCACCGTTTTGTATCAACAACGTTGCGTTTTGTACCAGTCAAGCCTGTGCGACGAGGCAGTTCATATCAGTGACCGCAGCTTGGGAGCTCGGTCTCTATTCCCAAGACAAAATCACGCAGCTGTATGTAAACTCTGCTCGGATACATTCTAGCCTTCAGGTCGGGTCTAAAAAATCTTTTCAGGTCACTACGATTTACGATTCAGTACTTGTGCCGTTGACGACTTCCCGAAACAATGGAAGAACAGTTCATGATCCGCGAGCGCTGCACTGCATTGCATCTCTTGCGGCGGTAAACATTCTAGTCAAGTTGTATCCTATCAGCTCCTATCAGGCCAAGGAGAGCCTCGCCCTCGTACTTAACAAGCTAACTCCGGGCATAATCTCAAGTTCCGATGCATGCCAAAAGAGCTTGAACTTTCTCCCCAAGCACGTTGGCCTACTGTCCCTGGAAACATCTTTGATTTCAGCGCTTTCATACAAATGCCTTCATATCTACGGCATATCCACGCGAACTCCTACTCCGAAGGTGCAACGCATTTTTTATTATATCTATGTTGACGGAGAACCCAAACCGATCTCGGTCAGCTAGACTTGTGTTTAAAAGTCAGCCGTCAGGTCAAGGTTTCGTCGCATCCATTTGAGAACAGTCGTCTGATCTTCTACTTCAGGCTGTACGGAATAATTAAAAAGGAGTCATTCGCGGACGTCCCTCGGATGAGGGGCATGCAGATGTAGCGCCAACCCTCGGCAACCTCGAATTCTGGGCTTTGCCGCACGACACATGTCCCTGCGAGTCTTGGACGCAAGACAATAGTTCCACAGTAGCTCCGCCAGTGAATCCCTTGCAACTTTAAACCACCTTCTACTTCTCACGACTTCCCGTCCCGAACAGTCTCATGGCATGAATTACAGTATATGAATCCGTTCAGTACAAAAGCTTTTTGTTTCGCTGAGGTCTCATCCCCGTGCATCCCCGATAAAGAATCATTACATTCCCACACAAGCGCCCACCTTTGCATAAGGTAATCGATCGATATTGATCTGTCATCCATCATATCTGTCAAGTCCCCGCTCTCGCTCAGCGCCATAGGACCTACACATACCTTCCTCAGGCGTTCTTCACACACTGTACCTCGTTCCTACTATATCTACCATGCACCGCGCATTGCTAGTTGACGAAATCCTATTGAACATACTTACTGCGCTACAGGAAGCAGACAGATCATTTAGCCAGCTCAACGCTGTCGCTCGGACATGTCGGTTCCTATCACCTCTGGCATTGGACCTCTTATGGTCGGAACTGCCGGACGTAAGGCCCTTGCTCCAATATCTGAAACCAAGGATATCAAATGTGCGCAAACTCAATACCATGGAGGTCGTGATGACTGACTCAAATCCCCAAGGACCCTTGCTCATTGGTGCCATCAGCATCTTTCCAACGCGCTGCATCTCGTGTCCGTAAACTATCATGTCCCGTTCTTCCATGCGGAATTACCCAAGCATCCCTTACGGAGCGACTGCAATTTTTAAGCATGATGCGCACCACGACCTCGTTGTTTCCCAACCTTCGACAACTTTCGTGGACCGACACAGATCGATCGCGTTATGTGTATATTCGACTATTCTTGAGTCCTATGCTGGAGTCGCTCGAGCTGGATTTCTTTTTCCATAAAGCTCCCGACTTTCCCTTCCTCGCCTTGCTGCCCAAACTCTGCCCCAACCTCCACAGCGTGTCAATAAGCAAACATTCCGTCATATCCTTATCGGTAGACGAAGGCCCTTCTGCTGTTCGGATGATTTGTCAGCTGCCTCGCCTCACCACCTTAGAATGCAAGGCGTCGACCATCAGCGAAGCAGATATTTTGCACTTATCTCAACTCAAGTCGCTCATGACTTTAAGCTTGGGCATCCCTTCGTGGGTATCAAGCGACCATGGAAACTTAGCACCGGATAGTTCCATGACAGCCAAAGACCGTGCTGATTGTTCGTGGTTCAGCAACCTACGCAATTTGCATCTTCGCGCATATAACATGCCAATCATTACATCCTTCATGAGACCTGGATGCAGGCCTCTGCAGTCAGTCATCTTCGACATCTCCGAAGCACCGACCGCTGCTTCCTTAACAGAGTGTTTTAGCATGCTTCAATGGAGTCAATACGACAATGAATGTGGCGCAATGGGTTACATCAAAGTTCGCGACGGCCTTTCAAGTGCTATACTCGGTGTCTCCCAGCTTCTTCCCGACTCCAAGGTCATCACAATAGACGTGTTCAAGCCACTTTTCGCTTTCACCAAACTACGAGTTTTCGATCTGGGCGTGTGCTTGTCATTTTCTCTAGGTGACTCGGACCTTACGGCGATGGCAAGCTCCTGGCCAGAACTTGAGGTCTTCTGCCTCAACGAGGGGCGTGGCTGGCGCTTGTCCGCTACTGAGCCTAGGTCATCCATCACCGTCCGTGGTCTCCAATCGCTGTGCGCTCTATGCCCGAGGCTTTATCAAATCGCAATAGTCTTAAATGCCCTAGATCTCCCCTGTCCTACAACACCCCGGTCTATGCACACCCCAAAGCGGGCCACACCTCTGGCTCGTAATTTGGCAGTGACTCACTTAAGCCTGGGAGATTCGAGATTGGCCAATCCACATGATGTTGCATGCGCCTTGTCCAACATCTTTCCTCGCCTGAAGAGAATCAGTGCGTGGCAATGTCCTTTGGATACATTGCCTGAGGGTCCGCATCATCACAGGTTGTGGGAAGAAGTAAACAATATCTTGCAGCAGCGTTTGAACAGCATCTGAGAGAGCCTCTCTTTACGTTGACAATTTGAAGCTTTCCCTAGCTTTCGTCAACCTTAAGCGAGTGCTCTCATTGGTGGAGAGGACTACTAGCCTGAGTGTACGATAGAGGTTACTGGCCTAGTCCAAACGGGGAGTGCAGTTTGGATCAAACTGGCGCGCTTAGCTTTGTAGATGAGGGATATTAGAGCGGTAGACAAGTGATTATAAAGGACCATTAATGTAGTTGCGTACAAGGACTACTTGAATGATGTTGGGTTAGGTGATGTGTCGATTATCTGGGAAATCGAGGCCTCATGGCTATCACATATTGGCTTGTGTCTGCTGAATCCAGTCGTGAAAGAACAAAAACCCGAGAAGAGCTCTATCCGGTGTTGCCACCGAGTGCACCACATCACCAAGAAATTTAGCCTTGGATTTCTTGCGTCTGCCGTCACCATACATTCGGGGCTGCCGATCGCAAAGACAGCGCCATGGATCACCGTCAAGCGGGTGTCGAGCTTTCAACCAATTAGGGCCCAACGATGCTTCTGCCTCTACATGCGGTGTTCGCTGTTGAATTATGTCAGGAATGAACTTTTTGCACCCCCAACGTAGGTCCTGACCTTCATAGTGCTGTGCTGACTTTCAGGTTTCTGATGCGAGTGCGAAACTCCACCAACATCATCATGAATATCTTTGCTCAGTTCTCGTCGCTGAATCGTCTGGCGGCCCTCCTCGGTCACGGAACCTCCTTGCTGCTCCTTAAGTATTTCCGAACTAGATAGAATGGGAGTGAAACTACTGTCATCATCCAGAGTCTTCATGTGAATATTGCCATGTTCAACGAGCAGTCCCGAAGGAGTGTTTTTACAAGCACCCTACTTCCTGCTCGTTACTCTCAGTCTTCACCATCGTATCACAACGATCGATTTCCTCCTCTAGATCAGGCCGTGAAGTGAATGGAGAGCGGATAGCCCTTTCGGAGAGCCAAGGTAACAGAGCGAGAGGCAGTGGGAGGTGAATCTTCTTTTCCTGCGTCATGTTTTTCTATGTGTGAAGGAGTTACGTGGTTCATAGTTTTAGGCTGTTCCACTCTGGATGGATGCCCGATCGAGACAACCTTCTTTCCATCGGGAGCACGGGCGTATTTGAGAGGCGCAGCGGTCTGATCTAGACAGAGCTCCAAGGGAAGGGGATTGGGACGGTCAACTCTGGGGTGATCACGATGCTGCTCTTGAAGCACACGTTTCATTTGGAGCCTTTGAACTGCAGTTCTCGGAAGTAGATCGTTAGCTAGAAGAGATAAGGTGGTTAGAGCCCAGGAATTCCTAGCTCAGTTCTACAGCACCTAAATTTCTCATCTGACTATCCGTATGACTGTCCTGCTGTTGTTGGTACCGATTGCCATGGTCGTTGAGTTGTGTGCCTTTGACATCGTGGAATACCTGGGCGGTTGCCTCGATGTTCGATGCTTGCCCGGCGCTCCGAGTTGTAAGGTTAGCGTCGACTTCTCTCTCGTCCTTCCAAAGTGCAAGCCCCTGCGCCTGAGCAGAAGGGAGTGGTTCGCTGACATCCTGTTTCGGTCTGAGCTGCTCTGCTGCGGTTCTGCTGCTCGTCTCAGCCTTCTTACAACGTTTGCATCTCCAGCCAGCGAGGCCGTTATCGTGATCGCCCGCGTTTGTGAGACGGATAAGCTCAACGAGTTCAGCGTCTTCAATGAGAGGGATGTGACATCCTAAGAAGAAACAGAATGATGGGTATGTGGACTAGTAGAAGTTCCGTCATCGCAGATTCAGAGCGATCACTTACTATGATGCCAACCTCTCTTGCAGTCTCTGCACTTTAAAAGAAACTTAGAGGGACCCTTGTTGGGCTCTGAACAACGATGACAAGACAAAGCCATGGCACTTGAGCTTGATCAAAGACGCTAGTGACTATGTCGGGACCCCAGATTCAATGTCAAGTCTTTCAGCTTTCAAAGGCAAGTTACACGTTGGATATGTATGTTTTTTGAGTTCAGTGAAATTAACGTTGGCATTTCCACAGAATACAACTACGTATACAGATAAGACGTATTCCTTTAAAGCGATGCAAAGAAACTGTTGTCGACCAGTGACTATCTGACATCGTAGAGTACCTGGGTGGTTGCCTCGATGCTCGATGGTTGCCTGGCGCTCCGAGTTATAAGGATCGCGTCGACTTCTCTCCATCCTTCCGAAGTGCAAGGCTCAGCGCTTGAGCAGAAGGCAGTTGTGGCTAACATCCTGTCTCGGTCTGAGCGGGTCTGCTGCTCGTCTCAACCACTTGATTCTTCTTACAACGTTTACATCTCCAGCCAGCGAGGCCGTTATCGTGATCGCCCGCGATTGTGGAACGGATGCGGCGAATGAGTTCAGTGTCTTCAACGGGAGGGATGTGACATTCTAAGAGCAAACAGAATGATGGGTATGTGGACTAGTAGAAGTTCGGTCGTCGCAAATTCAGAGCGATCACTTACTATGATGCCAGCCTCTCTTGCAGCTTCCGCACTCTAAAAGAATGTTGGAGGGACGGTTTCTGGACTGTGAACAACGGTGACAAGACAAAGCCATGGCACTGTAAAGCTGGTATCGACTCGGAGTACACAGCAAGAATACGAGTTTGACGGGGGAATGAATAGATCACGAGAGATGAGTGAGTGAATTTCCTACTGGTACGAAAAGTACAGACATGCTTTTATACGTAAAGCAAAGCAAGGTATGGGAGTGGCTCGTCAAAACGGTACAAAAGGGAGTAGTCCATCGTCAGAGAGGACGCTATGTCAGGACCCCAAATGTAATCTCAAGTCTTTCGGGTTCGTTTGCACGTTAGAATCTAGATAAGTAAGCATTTCCACAGAATACAACTACAGATAAGACGTATTCCTTCAGAGCGATGTAAGCTGACGACCAATAACTTATCGAGGTTGAGTGCCAAAGGCACGATTGCTAGCAGTCAGTTCAGCACCCAATTTGTATCCCATGGTCTAGATCAATTCAGTCAGGATGATGACCACGATCATGAGGAACATACCTTATCCCAGTCAATCTTCTGTCGCGTTAAGGGCAGGGCACGCCTCAAGCCTTTGAATGCCTTCTCTCCCATCTCATGATATGCATCATTTAGGGATGTCTGGCATCGCGACTCTTCAGCCTCGATCAATGCAAATATCTTGGATGCCGATGAAGTAGGAGGTAGTGATGACACAGCGGCAGGTATTGATATCGACAAGTCATGCGACGTGCTGAGTTGAACCTGTACTGAATGTCAGACCAATGAATTCGTATCTTGCGGCAAGTCTAACATTGCCTTGTTCATAGTAGTGGACGTTTACAAGGACTCTTCCCTGTATGATTTTACTCTCAAAGTCTATTTCGTAGTGCGAGCGCCATCGTCCAGCCCTGCAAAGATGGTTTAGTTCAACGCAAAAGGAACACATGTCAATCAACCGAACCAGAAGTTTGATGGGTTGTATTTATTGGAGACGATCTGAACTGCGAATTGAGTGGTTGACATGGCGAGAACAGTAGCAACTCCATCGTGGTAGTGTGAACCCAAGTATGATAAAGCAGCGGATTGCAATGCAGCGCTGATATCTGATAAGTCCCAAGCAGCTAATGCACGATATTTGATCCACTGACCGTTGAGGCTCAGCCTCCGAAGGCTCCTCTGACTGAGGATCTGTGGCTTCCTACTAACGTCATTGATGACCACCAATCGTGACTGAAAGTGAGGACTCACTAGAGTCAAGTGGTTGAAAACAAAAGATGTTTTAGATCGTGGGTCCAGATAGCGTTCTTCTTCGGTGTCGGGTACACGCGCAAATTCGCTGACTATTGTCTAGAGCAAGATCCACTGTGTAACGATATCTTAACACGTTGAGCTAGGGACTAACCTGATGATGTTCACCTGGCACCTCGACCGTTGTGAACTGCGCGAGATTATATTCTCGAAGGGCGGGAAGGATGCCTTCCTCTAATCCCGCGTCATCATCTACAATGACGCGAACATCTGCACGAGGTTGGACATCAGCATGGCTATGGAGGAGACACGGTAGTAAGGCACTAGGCACCGTTCAAGACGTCATTAATTTCTCCTGGAGGCGACTGGAGGATGAAGGAAGCAGCCACTTGTACGCGATCGTCAGAACTCATCACGATGGTCAGATTCTCCTGACGCGCTCCGTACTGGTTTGACTTTCAATTGGAAGGTGAACCCGTGCATTCTACATGGAGTGATTACGGCAACTGCCGACCACATTGGATTTCTGCGAGATCATGAGTCATGACTGTGATATGAACGAGAATTAAGAGTGCAAAATCCTGGATCTAGCTAATTCTACTGGCAAAAAGATAAATTTACAGGGACCGAACGGCAGTACAAATGATGATCGTATTTGTAAATTTTGTAAATGCGATGAAGACAGAACGTGTTCTAAGACGACCATGAGTGCAGTGGATCACAGTTTGGCCTTGAACTGGTCTTCGGTGACACCCTTGCCCATCGCTGCTGTGGAAGATACGCCACCGGTGACAGTCTTTATGAGATTGTCGGCGTAGTCGGCACCACTCCACTATTAAAGTATTAGTTTCAGAGCGCGTGAATGAGGTGATAATGGCAAACCTTTTGATGCGTCAAGACATCGCAGTCAATCTCGCGCTCTTTGCTCTGAATAATCTCCACGTAAGCTTTCATACCTTCCGTCGCATATGAACGAGCGAAGAGATCGCTTATGTATGCATTGGAGTGCAAACCGCCGAGCTGACAGGGAAGGTCCAGTCAGTTTAAAGGTTACTTCATGTTTCTTCAGATACTGACCGTGATAAATTGCCAGACGAAGCCGAGTTTACCTAGCTCCCAGACAAAGGCTTTCATATCCTGGCTGTTTAGGCCAGCGGCTTCCCAGTTGAATGAAGGGCTGAGGTTGTACGACAACCAGTGACCTGGGCGTGCGGCGTGAACACCGTGTGCGAACTCGCGGGCTTGAGACAAGATAGGTTTCTTTGTTTCCATCCACAAGGCATCGGCATATGGTGCGTACTCAATAGACCGTTGAATTGCGCACTGGGTGCCACCTTGGTAGCGATAGAACCCTTCCCGGGTCCGGGGCGTGTCCCAGTTCCAGTAGGGTACAGACTTGAGACCAAATTCTCTCTGTGCGATAACTACTGCTTGAGGGTATGACGAGTGCGCAACACGAGAGATGAATCGATCAACGGTAGCCTTCGATGACCCTTGTGCGGTCAGGGCATTAGCCAAGGTCTCCGAGAACAACTGCAAGTTTGCGGATGCAGTCCAAGCATCCTCAACTGCCTGCAGGTCATCACCAGACTTCCCAGCATTCTCAGCGTCGGTCATGACATTCACAAGAGGAGGGAGATCCGCGTTTGTGGAGCCGAAAATGAAGGGGTGGTCGCGGTCATCAATGTTTGAGGTAATCAGGGTAGCAGCTTCTGAATCAGTCCGTGCAATGACTAAATTCTCGACGCCCATAATGTCGTATTGAAGACGAATGGCAACGAGGCGGTTGATGTGCTCAGATATGGGCACAAGAACCTTGCCCGCCATGTGTCCGCACTTCTTCGTCCCAGGTGCTTGGTCCTCGATATGGATACCGGCTGCACCTTTTTCAACGAACATCTTGGTAAGCTTCATAATGGCAGTGAGGCCACCATGTCCAGTATCGGCATCGGCAACAAGGGGGCGAAGATAGTCAATGGCTGGAGTTGCAGCAAGCTCTGCCTCGGACATGTTCGAGCGAGCCTCGTGTTGTTTACGGTCATGGAAGAGCTGTGCCATGAAAAGATGCTCAACCTTGTTAGGAACCGTATTTGAGGGGTAATCTGGATAAAAGTTAAGGAAAATATGTAATCCCCAGAGCAAAGGCGCGTACCAGCAAGATCGGGGCCGGGTTCGTTGGTAGACTGAAGCCGTACTGGAGGATTGCCAACCAGAAACATATATTGTCTCGAGGTACTTGGCCATCTGAGTAACTTGCACAGGGTCTAGACTATACACCTTCCATCAACAGCTGACACGCAGAGGTATCGTATGGAGGTCACTTACGCTCCGTATGTGTGCGATGGTGTACCATTCTTGGCGTGCTCGGAGAGCAGGGCGAAGAGCTTCTTTCCTTGTATCTCGGAAGGATACTTAATGGGGATGCTACCCCGCTTCGCGACGACTTCAGCAGCGGAATATGGTCGCTTCACTCTGGCGAAGCGCGGGCTCTTCATGTTCGACACTGTTCAATACTACAACTCACTCCTTGCAGTTTAGGGGCTCACCTTGAACCACCGTTCGACCTCGGCGACCTCAGCCTGGAAAGCGGCGCGCTCAGCGTGTGTCATGGCAATATGGGAGGATGATTGAGGGTAGTAGAAATAGAATACGGGCTGTCGTTAAAAGGCAGAAGGAAAATCTATTTAGTGGCCAAGCAGCGGCCGAGGTACGAATGTTCCACTGAGACATGTGATTCCACCAATAACATTTTCTGTGGTGCAAATCGGTACACTCGACTGGAGAGCGGAAGGTCCTAAGGAGCGGGAATCTAAAAGCTCGTGATTACGCTCTATCTCCCGAAACATGTTCCGTAGGACACAAAGGCGGCGGCGTTATACGGACTTTCAGCGGAACTGACCTTGTTGAAAGCCGAGCTACGCACCAAATCACTGCAACTCACTCGGCCGACTTGCAGACTAGTAATGGCGTGCAGACTGATGCAGTTCATAGATTGTGTCACTACAGAGGCACTAAACCAAAAGCTTAAATGACATATATATTTGGTGGTTGATGGAAACACCCGACACCTGTCATAACCTCCACGCCCAAACAACTCGGGGTTGCAGGGTCGATGCTGCAGAAAAACTCAGGGTCACTACCCTCTGCGCAATGACGGAAAGCGTTTTATGTCCTTGGAATACAATGTATGGTTATCTAAGTATTCTAGATACCTCCCCGCTGCTGGTCACTGACGACAACTGGCGCGCGTTGTTCAGATATAGCCGCTGTGTCCAGGGGCAGGCAACCCGTTATAGGTGCCCCACAGCCAGGCTTGCATTCGTCTAAATCATTATGCGAATCGCTGTCAATAGCATATACATCATCGCCTGTCACCATCATAGACAAGGCCAGCTAAACCGTAGCGTATCGTAAAAGCAAAGATACTGCCCGCGATCTGTACGAAAAGGATTGCCAGCTTCAGCGACGAACGGTCTTGTGTTAATTCGACATACCTGAGTACACATAAGTACCTGAACGAGCCTCTTCTCGTGCATCGGACCCAGACGCAAGAGAAGGAAGTTGAGGATCGTCAGATTGGTGGCTTCAAGGATAGCTCCGCTTGTTGGGTCCATAGTCAGCTCTGTCAGGCCGAGTGTGGCAAGTATACGAAGGGTAAGAGACGCGAGCCTGGTAGCAGGCTGTTTGTCAAAGATGGTTTTTGAGGGGTACAGCAAATTGGTATCAGGAACGAATCTGAAATATCATAGGCTGGTTAATGACGGACTTGGTGTCTCAAAATCGTGGTAGAACCTTGGAACGCGATGTCTAGGGCACGGCACAATGCCGAAGAGCTGAGGACATGAGAGCAGGAAATTGAAAATCTGAGGAATAAAGAATAGAAGCAGGGTCTTGGAGAAGTGTGCTTGTATTCCAACCACGGAGAAAGCCATTCCAGTGACATAACAGAGTGTGTCTCCAGGGAACGCACGCGCAGGATACCTAAGAACATGGATAATTAGAAATAATGACTTACGGATCATGCGCACTCACCAGTTATGGTACATAAACCCAAGACACACCCCTACGAGAGGAAGCATGAAGTACAGACTGAAGAGGTGTCTCATAACGAGTTCGCTACTTCCATAGGCCATTCCTGCATGCCAGGCGCCACCAACTTCGACTTCCATTTGACTGCCGAGAAGGTGTAAGGGTATACGGAAGTCAAATGGCAAGGGCAGGTATAAAAGATCGTTGATAATAACCGAGACGGCAATGATCAATGCCTGGCTGACTTCAGAGCCATTGATTCCAGCAAGAATATTGATGCTATTCGTGGTGAATGTCGAAAGGAGTGACATGTAGAGGTAATACAAGGGACCTGAAGGTAGCTTGAGATTATCACGACCGACATTGCATTGAAATTACAAACCTAGGTTGACAAGAAGGCCAAGAAATGGCCGAAGAGGAATAGGCACGACTACATGAGTATTCCCTCCTTCAGCATAGTAGACCATCAATAGCGGTATGGCGGCAATGAGCGGGATAGGCAGTTTATGTCTCCATCGAATGTCGAATACATCGTCGAGGAACCCCAACAGAATTGCCATTAAGAGCGATAGCAATGATGACAGATATACAGATAGCTTTACTGCTCGTCACAAAAATGCTTTGTTCAAACCTGATGAGGTACTAACCTCATGATGTAGAGAGGCGGCGCCCAGCAAGCCTTCGATTTTGCTTCCCCCGCCCGAAAGGCTCGCGATGGAGGTGGAGAATGGGAAAGGAATGAACAATATTAATAGCAGAATGTATATTGACGCGCAGACGAGGCCTTGACTCTCTGGTCTTGAGATGCACGTCAGCTTTCGTCTTTGCCCTCGTTCAATGGCACGAACATAGGATCAGAATAGACTTTCAAGAGGTCCTTCCCTTTGAGGTTGGCTTTCACAAAAGTTGGTCCGAGTGCGGGGACTAGGTAAAGCGCTGCAAGGAACGCAAATATGGAGAATCCAGCAGATGCCCATAGGGCTGGCAGGGGAGGGACGGGGTCAAGTAAAGGACGAATGACAAACCATGAAGCTACCGGTATTAGGGATATAAGTAAGATGTTAGGGAGTGGTCTGGGGGATAGAGGAGGTGCCATGGCTTGCCCGCCAGAGTCCTGCCCTGTAGAATAGGTGGTGTTCTTGTCAGTGAAGATCTCCTTACACCGCCATAAGTATGGGCGTCGCGTGTCACTGTCAGGACGTGGTCACGTTTCAACACGTGAGATGGCTGCTCTACCAATTACGGCCACTACTTCAGACAACGCTTCGATCAGCTCAGGGGAACTATCTACGCAAAATTTGTCGCCCCAGAATGACTGGGTCTTGAACCGTGAAGAGTGCTACATAAAGACTGCAGAAGGCAAGGGAAGGGGTGTTTATGGTGAGCAATCTCAGTTCTTGGAACAAAATTCGAAGACGAAATTTAATTGGCAGCATCTCGTGTTATACCACCACAAACTGTGATCGAAATTAGCCCTGTGCTACTTTTCACCAGATCTGAATACGAGGATCATGGTAGACATACGATCCTGGATCATTACACGTTTAAATGGCGAGATGGACGGATGGCTCTTGCCCTTGGTCTCGGTGAGATTCGTTCTGCGCACCATCATCGTTTACTCAATAAAACACGTCCCGGTGCTACTTAGGCTCCCTTTTCAATCATTCAACCCACCCAAATGTGACATACACGTTTGATTCTGCTCATGAGTGTATCAGGTACACGTCTACAAGGAGAATCAACCCCGACGAAGAGTTGTGTATCTTCTACGGTCATAAACTCTGGTTTGATCCTGTGGGCACCACAGAAAACTTGGAACCTCAAGTCTCCCTTCGACCAACACGGCCAATCTGATTTTCTTGATATCCTGGCTATCGATAGCGAAGTGGATGAGGCTGAACCACGAAATACTGGCGACTCGGACGTTATTCTGGAGGGCGAGGCTCTTCCGTTCATTTGGAAGAAGCTTCAAATAGATGAAGAAGAGGAGTCCATGGAAGACATCAGAACAAGTAAGATCAGCCCAGCCTTGCGAAAGTTGAGAGTGACCCCCTCGTTTAGTGCAGGCCTGGGCGGTTGACATCCCGGACTCGAAACACATAGCGACAATGTTAAAGTGAGACTATTCTTCGCTCCAATGTCGCCAACCACCACTCAAAGTCGTTAGTTGGCTGAAACGGTCAGGTCTCGAGAGTGATATTCTATCACACCTCAAACGCATCCGGAAGAAAGATCGTATCTCCACACTCCTTCTCAGTGTCTTGCCTTCTGCTCCCTTACTTCCTCAGAACGTCGATATCAGGGGATCCATATCAGGTGCCTGTCCCCTGCAATCCCGCTTTAACACAGACATCGCTTCTTTTAAAAAATACGTTGTGGCCAACTGTATACGCACCACGACGGAAGTGGGAGCCTGAAAAATGGTCTATTGCAAAAGTTCAATGGGCTCGTGATGCCATTAGTCACATTTTACGAGAGAGTGCTCAGACAACATCGAGTGACGAGGTTCGTTTCAAGATCTGGGATGAGAAAACTTGCTCACAATTGATCAGCTTCCGGTTGTTGCACACGTGCCCAGGCCCTTTGAAGACGAAGCTCAATTACCTCGGTCATTTACAGCCAAAGACACGCGTATATCCACTGGCCATCCTCTGCGCCATGCTGCAATGAACATCATTCGCGACATCGCCGATTGGCGTGCATTAACGGCCCCCACTGATATCCCACCTGACCCCTTGACGCCCATGGCTTCTGCCTTCTGACGGCAGCCTCGGAATCTCAGATACATCGTGCAATGGCACGAATTATCTGCTGACTGGGTTAACCCTTTTTATAACCCATGAACCATGTATTATGTGCAGCATGGCGCTACTGCATTCGCGCGTCAAAGAGGTTTTCTACATCGTCCCTATGCCACAGACAGGAGGATGCGGTGGAACTGCATGTCTGCCTGCGCTCAAGGGTGTCAATCACCGGTACAGCATCGCGCACTGGAGATCAAGAGACGGCTAGCGCAGCCCCAGCACATCTTGATGATCAAATAGATGCCTGATCCACAGATAGATATCTAGATGCTCATTAGTACCACGATCATCATTCGGAGATTAGGTTACCCTGCCATCACAAGCAATTCATGATTCTACTTCTAGATTCTTCTAGTGACACAATCTACAATACATTCTGCTCGGTGGGCAACGATGAATCGGCCGGGGAAAGCAATGATAGCATGGCACATGCAATAACAACAGTTCAAAAATAGACCATTCCGTCGCGCTCCCGCATTCTCCGTCGTCCGTCCCAACAGTCTCAGGCCAATAAATTCGCTTAAACCCCATCCCCCTGATCGAATAACCCACTCAAAGCCGTGTGAACGAACGCACCTGCAGCGCAGGTGGCTGCCACATCTTATCATGAATGAGTCCCAAAAGATCAGAATCGGGAAGAGTGCGGAGATAAGCATTATCATCCAATTTCTAGAGGAGTACAAAGAGGTCCGTCAGTTCCCTGCTCGTGCGTGGATGTTTGTTCCCCCTTACATCTTTTTGTGCTTGTCTGATGACAGCAAATGCGACCTGGGCACTGATGTCCCTGATGCGCGCAAGACGAGGGTATACCAATTCGGCAGCCCTCTCTTCCTCGGTCAAGGAGGTGGCAAGCGCGATCGCTGCCTGTTCGACCATGGCGTCCGATACGTGGCGAGTCCGGGAGAGGATCGAACCGAGACCGATACCGGGGAAGATGTACATGTTGTTTCCTTGTCCAGGCTCGTGCGTCACACCACCATAGGAGAAGGGATTGTACGGGCTACCCGACGCGAAAATCACCTGGCCATTGGTCCTTTGTAGGCGAGGATTGTTAATATCGACCATGCTGCGAGAGCTTTGTTGACTCACCATTCGATGGCATCTGAGTAGTCCAATTCACATAGCGCGACGGGATTTGACAAGGGGAAGATGATGGGACGCTTGTTCAGAGCACTCATCGTTTTGACGACTTGCTCAGAGAATGCATTCTGGAAAGGAAGTGAGGTTCTGAAAGGTTCAGCTATAACGGGGAGGCGTACTCTGAGGGTGCTAAGACCGAGCAAGGCGGTGGGCTTGACGTAGTTAATGATGTCAACGAGGTCGGTCAATGGAGGACCCTCGTAATCGGTCCGTGCGAAGACTGCAATTACTGTTTAGTTTGTAGAAAATAGGGTAGATATATCTTCGTACACTTCTTGTGTTCTTGGAGCCCGTTGCGGTCGGCAGTAATAAGACCTTTTGAATCCACAGTCTAACGGGATTATTGAGTAACAAATTCACATGACCTTCGAATGTGGCTTGGCTCACGTAGATTCGAGACCTTGCTTCTTCAGGACTCAGGCCAGACAAGGTAAAGAAGGACAACAATTGCTTCGCAACGCCGATACCTGCAGAACCGGCTCCGAAGAACAAGATCTTGTGATCTGATGGCGGTAGGCCGGAAGCGGCAGAAGACAAACGGGCAGCATTTGTGAAGCCTGACAAGATTACGGATCCTGTGCCTTGAATCTGCACAGGGGTCAGTACAAACGAGAGTGGAATGTTGATCGACTGACATCATCGTTGAAAACACGATACTGATGACGGTAGCGGTCGAGGTATTTGAATGCGTTGTCTGTTGAGAAGTCTTCGAATTGTACTAGTAGGGTAGGGAAGACTTCTTTCATGGCTTCCATGAACTCATCCATGAATTCGTCCATCTGAAACATGTGTGAATTTATGGGCGCGCAGGTGGTTGTGAGGGACATACTTCTGGACCGTTTGGGCGTGGGCGGCGAACGCCGATGTAGAGAGGATCATCAAGGTAGCGTTGAGTATTTGTACCCAGGTCCAGGCAAATCGGGACCTGGCTAGGGTCAATTGAGTGCATGAGATACTAACAGCATGGACTTGCGGTAGAGGATGGTTTGATGCCGGCTCCAGCGATGTAGAGATCCCTGGGTAGTTGTGTTCACGTGAGGGACCTTCTGGAAGAGTGTAAACACTAACAATTTGCCAATACTGATGGGCAGGCCATTTGCGCCAAGATCGCCCAAGCCAAGGATACGGGAACCTGATTGTTTGGTTAGGAAGGTAGATAACATCGAACGCCAATTCAGCCCACCATCGGTGACGACAGCTATGCGGCCGTCGGGGAAGTTCGGCCAAGTTGCCAAAACATTACGAATGCGACCTTTGTCTTCAATGGAGACATATAGACCCTCAGGTCGCCTCCAAATATGGGAGTAGTTGACACAGGCATCTCCAACCTTTGGAGAACGGTTCTTAAGTATGGTCACACGACCAGGTCGGAACGGCTTACAGTTGGTGTATACAAGATGGGAATCATTTCCTGAGTAATTGAAAACACCTCAGTCCCGGTTTTACACGAGACGATGAGGGCAGCTTACTTGCATGTTCTCAAGCAAAATGTCATAGAATAGGTCAGAGTCACGGCCTTTGAGGCCATTTAGAAAGATGTATTTTTCAAGACCAAGTTGTTTGGAGCGCAATTGCAAGAGAGAGCGCTGACGGTGGTCAGTTTCAGTAAAATTGGGAGGAAAACGAGAAGGGGACATGGTGTGGAAGTTGAAACGTGATGAACGAGTTAATGGAGAAGCTAGTGCAGCTTTATAGGAAGATCGAATTCGAATGGGACGATAAAGCATTCAGATTTTAACTGCTCGGCACAAGCTGTGAGGAGGAAATCGCGAAGCCTTTAAAAAAAACCAGTGTATCCACCCGGTTCTATAAAAAGGATTTGGGGAAGTTTTGTAACCTCGGCAAAATTTTCGTGATGTGAGATGATAAATTGATGTTATTGGACCACGGGGAAGGACTAGATGCTCTGCTGTTGGGGCGACCAGTATGAAAATCGGCTCATTTTGAACCCTGGAGAGAAGTGGAACGACATGGTTTGTTGTGTTCCAAATTTGGAAATCAACCCAATGACAAGAGTCGGAAAAACGGAAATATACGGAACACGTTTCTCGGTCTCCGTCACACTAGGATGAGTCAACGTGAAACTTGATTGGTGTAAGATGAGCAGAATCATCTCAGACTACCCGACTATACTGGACATATCCTATTAAAGTCTGCCACACTAGAATAAGTTAGTCGCGCATAAATGGTTACAGACCTGGGAAACGGACCAAGATATGTTCTCCATGGGGCTCTGTCCGCTAGGCCCATATCACCAGAATTCACGGCGTTTCTGTTTGATAGCGACAAAAGTAGACTTCTTCTCTCCCCACTGCTCCCTCACAGTCTCGTGCTCCACCTCCATCTTCCTGGCGAACTCCTTCCGTTGGGGTCTGGGAAGAGCAGCAATTTTGGACACAAAATTTGGCGTGCACTTAAACATCCTTGCAAGTTTAGCACGGCTGTATTTTTCTGGATTAGACAGCCTCAGTTTTCGTAGCTGCTTCATGTCCTCGTCCAACATTCGTGATGGTGCAGCATTATATGCTGAAGGCCGCAACAATGGTGGCATGGGTGCACGTTTATTGAGCGGTGTTGGAGACTTGAGCAAAGGAGAAGCGGGAGCTAAAGTTGTTGAATGAGGTGAGGGCGCTGTTGGGGGAGGACGATGGATAAAGGTCAAGTTCTCGTCCTTGAGTGTTTTGACAACAACATTCGGATGGTTCAGCAATGGATCTGGAAAACGCGCAGGGGGCTTTTCTGCGATACGAGTTGCATAGCTGCGGGAGAAGCAGAATGATAACCGTGGCTTCAGCATTTGGGTTGTCGCGTCAAACAAGTTACTTTGAAATTAGTGCAACGACAAACGACGCTTACATAACTTTGCTATCCTATAAGCGGACGGACGCGTTCGACTCTAAAAGTTCATTCGACTATGCAGGTAACAAGGTCAATCCGACTACCTAGCAAGCGGCTTCAGCTGTCGGGATGCCGCCTTATTCATAACCATCCCGCACTTCGCTCATCAAATCCCTCTGGTCGGACGGCTTCGTTTGGCTTCAGGACAGTTCCAGAGGAGTCGAAGGAATCACTTGTGAAGGATGTTTTCGACTCTGTCGCATCAAAATATGACTTGATGAACGACGCCAGCTCTCTTGGCGTACACAGACTGTGGAAAGACTCCTTCGTAGATACGCTCAAACCGGGTCGCAAAGGTCCCCTTCGGTGCATAGACGTTGCAGGAGGAACAGGCGACATCGCTCTCCGTATTCTGGATCACGCAAGGGAGAAATATGCAGACAGAGAAACTACCGTAGAAATCGTGGACATCAACGCGCAGATGCTCAAGGAGGGATTCACGAGGTTCAAAAAGACAATGTACCACAATAGTGAGCTATGCGGTGCTTGCGACGTGCTCTAGTTTATGACATCTGTCAGCACCTCAGGTTTCGTTTCACGAAGCAAATGCACAAGAACTACCACCTTCTCAGTTCAAGGATGATTCCTATGACTTGTACACAATCACATTTGGTATCCGCAACTGCACTTCCATCCCTGCCGTGCTAAGTGAGGCCTACCGGGTTCTCAAGCCTGGCGCTACCTTCGCGTGCCTTGAATTCAGCAAGGTTAATAACCCACTGCTGAGCACGTAAGTGACTTTCATTTCATTGTCATCTAATTCTAATTTAGTTTGTAGACTGTACGACCAGTATTCATTCACGGTCATCCCGCTGCTTGGAACCATCCTAGCTGGCGACCGGGATTCGTACCAGTATTTGGTAGAGTCTATTCGCAAATTCCCAAGTCAGCCTGAGTTTGCGCAGATGATTAGAGATGCAGGTTTCTCCACAGGAGGTGATTTTGATGGTGGTGCTTGGACAGATCTCTGGGGAGGCATTGCCTCGATACACACAGGAGTAAAGATCTAGTTATAGCATACTCCTTTCCTCGTACTACGATTCTAATACCCATTTGCTGTCTACCTTCCTTTGTCGAGTTGAATAAACAATTTGCAAAGGCACGCGAGGCAGCGCCACAGCCGCGCCTAAGTTGCCAGCGTACTCACGATTCAGGACAGCTGTCCTTTCCACACACGACCATCATGTCGTCTTCAACAACAATAACAACAACCGTACCAGCCAATGTTGCTCATCCTATGCCGCCTGCTACGGCAGATCTTGCAACAACATGGGCTTTCCTCGAGGAGGGAGTGGACCATATCATGACCAAGCTCCAGACTGGCGTCTCCTACTCCAAGTACATGAGCCTCTACACAGTGGCATACAACTACTGCACGTCGTCGCGCATGCATAGTACCACTGGTGATGCCGTTGGGACGGGCAGCAGAAGTGAGTGTCATTGGCAGTGTTGGCTTACCTGTGGTGATAAGACCGCAGACTGACTCCTCAGCAGCAGGGGCTAACCTGATGGGCTCGGATTTATATAACAATCTCATTCGATATTTCATCACCCATCTCAAGCTCCTCAAGGATGTATGTTGACTCCTTTTTTCTGATCTCATGAGCGATCAGGAATCATTCTTATCCATTCTATAGCAATCCGATAGCCTCCAAGATGAAGCTCTCCTACGATACTACGCCAGTGAATGGGACAGATACACAACAGGTGCCAACTACATCAATCGATTGTTTACATACCTCAATCGCCACTGGGTGAAGCGAGAGCGAGACGAAGGTCGAAAAGGAGTCTACCCTGTATACACGGTGCGTCATCCTTCTTATTCACATTTCACACAGATCGTCATATACCCATGGCCTATCGCAGCTCGCCCTCGTGCAATGGAAATCAAATTTCTTCCTCCACGTCCAGAGCAAGCACACGAAGCTCGCAGGTGCTATCCTCCGATTGATCGAGCGCCAAAGAAATGGCGAGACGATCGATCAGGGTCTTGTGAAAAAAGTGGTCGATTCATTCGTTTCGCTTGGTCTTGATGAGACGGATATCAACAAGGCGTCCCTTGACGTCTACAAGGAACATCTGGAGACGCCGTTCCTGGATGCAACCGAGAAGTATTACGAGCAGGAATCCGAGGCATTCCTCGCAGAGAGCAGTGTATCTGACTATCTGAAAAAGGCCGAAGAGCGCTTGAAGGAAGAAGAGGACCGTGTCGACCGATACCTGAACACTGACACGAGGAAGCAGCTCGTCAGCAAATGCGAGCATGTACTGATCCGGCAGCACTCTGACCTTATGTGGGAGAGCTTCCAAAGCTTGCTCGATTTTGACAAAGACGAAGACCTGCAGAGGATGTACGCATTGTTATCTCGCATACCCGAAGGCCTGGAGCCTTTGAGAAAGAAATTTGAGGAACATGTGAAGAAGGCGGGTCTAGCTGCTGTTGCAAAACTCTTCGGCGAAGGATCAGAGGGTGCAGATGTATTGGATCCCAAGGCATACGTCGACGCACTGCTTGAGGTTCATCGCAAGAACTCAGAAACCGTTACGAGGAGCTTCAGGGGAGAGGCTGGCTTTGTCGCATCTCTCGATAAGGCATGTAGAGAATTCGTCAACCGCAATGCTGCAACGGGCCCGTCGACGACAAAGTCACCAGAATTGCTCGCCAAGCACGCGGATATGTTACTTCGCAAAAACAACAAGATGGCTGAGGAGGAGGACCTTGAAGGTGCTTTGAACCGCGTTGTAAGTACCTCGATGATGGCCCATGCGCTGATCTCTTATCTGTATGCGTAGATGGTGCTTTTCAAGTATATCGAGGATAAGGATGTCTTCCAGACTTTCTATGCTACGAAACTGTCGAAGCGTCTCATTCATGGCGTGTCTGCATCGGACGAGAGTGAGGCCAGCATGATCTCCAAGCTGAAGGAGGCTTGTGGTTTCGAGTACACGAACAAACTGCAGAGAATGTTCACAGGTATAATCCATCCTCCATCCATGACCTTTTGGTCGCTTATTTGCTTTTCATAGACATGAGTCTCAGTAAAGACCTTACTGATCAGTTTAAGGAGCGTATGCAGAATCACGAGGACATGGACATCAACTTCTCCATCATGGTTCTCGGTACGAACTTCTGGCCGCTCAGCGCACCCAACAACGATTTCATCATTCCTCCCGAGATTCTTGCCACGTACGACCGCTTCTCCAAGTACTACCAGACGAAGCATTCCGGTCGCAAACTGACCTGGCTATGGAATTACTCGAAGAACGAGCTGAGGACGAACTACCTCAATCAGAAGTACATCCTGATGACCAGTTCTTATCAAATGGCAGTGCTTTTGCAGTACAACAAACATGATACGCTATCATTGGAGGAGTTGATTACCGCGACGGCAATCAGCAAGGACATCTTGTCGCAGGTGCTTACGCTTTTGGTGAAGGCCAAGGTTTTGATCAATGAGGAGACCGATCAATATGATTTGAACCCTAGTATGGTTTTCCTTTTTCGCGTTTCCCGTGATGCTAATATACCCTCGTTAGACTTCAGGTCTAAGAAGATCCGTGTCAACTTAAACCAGCCAATTAAGGCTGAGGTGAAGGCTGAATCATCAGAGGTGCTCAAGACCGTCGATGAAGACCGTAAATATGTGATCCAGGCCACCATCGTCCGAATCATGAAAGCGCGCAAGACGATGAAGAACCAGCCCTTGATTCAAGAGGTGATCTCTCAGATTTCGCAACGATTCGCTCCAAAGATTCCCGACATCAAGAAGGTTAGAGTTGCTCGTTTCTTCGCTAGACTGTTTGCTTATCCGTGTTTTTAAGGCGATCGACACACTTTTGGAGAAGGAATACATTGAGCGGGTGGACGGCACCAGAGATACATTCGCATATGTGGCATGATATTAGTCTTTCATCAAGCAATCCAATCCAATCCCCTGTATCATACACTCTTTCTTGTAACCTAATATCGCGCATTGTCCGCATTCCGCATTCCAGAGGGATGGATATTGTCCCCCTCTTATACACCTTTCATATCTCGATGGCGAAAGAGCGTATATGTATAATCTACAATCTCTGATTGATTATCAGTGGCGGTCGAGTTGGCAGGTCGGTGATGACTTCGGGAGTGTGTGATTACAGGGCAGTGTTTCTCTGCTTTGTTGCACAGGACGGCGTAACTGCGCCCCAGCGCCGTAACTCCCCACAGGGATCTTCGGCGTTGGTTACTTACCGACCGTGACTGCCTGCCCGGCCTATTCGGGTCTTCGCCGCTGAGCAGTAATCTCATATTCTCACGTGCTCACAGTCATGACTTTGCGGGATGCACTACTAGCTGGTCTGTCCAGCCTACCAGGCACTCGTGAGTTTCACCTCCATGTCTTAGTCTCATCACCCAGAAAGCACGGGGGCCTTTTTCCATTTGCAAATCCACGACCAAGGACATATTTGCAGGACATATTGATTCTGCTATCCGAACAAACCACACCTGACTCCTCTCGCGTATTCGTCTCCGCAATTGAAGCATGCGTCTACAACGTCCCATCGACGTCCTGCGCAATCCTATACATCTCGAAAGTTGATTCTACTGGTCAAGCTACAGCACCCTCTCCCACCCCAGCTCTCGTTCGCGCACTTCTACTTTTCTATGCAGACCCTGCTACGCGTCCCATCTCTGTTGACCATCTCTGGATTCACCTGTTTGCTCGAGCACAAACTCAATATCTATTCCCCAACTCTTCAGAATACCCAAACAAGCGCCCCCTAAGCGACATCAAGCTCTGTGCTTGGTGGAAGCGACAATTTAACACCGTCGCAAGCGAGTTAGCTTCTCGAGTGGGCGAGACCTGCCGTACGAAACTGTACTATATCCTACCCGGTCTCAGCGAGTTTGAAGCCTTTCACTCGCTGGAGAGGGTATACCCATCAACAGGTTCAACGACCAGTTGGACATACGGACATCCCTACTCCCAGAACGATATCCCCCTACCTTGTCCTTCGGGAGGTGATTCGCGTCATCTTGGGCAATGCATACCGTCATTCGATGATGACCCCAAATCTCGCTTCATAGACGAGATCGCTTACACAACGGATGCGGATGGTGTCAGGTCTCCCGAACGAAAACGTCCAAGAGCGGATACTTTAAAAGCACACGAAGAAGAAACAGCCGATGCTCCAGAAAAGAAGGAAGGTCGGAACAAAAAAGAGGAACAGACGAATAAAGAAGTAAAGAAGGTGTCTGCGGAAGAATTCTGGGAGCGAATGTCGTTCCGACAGGAATGTATAGCAGGGGCCGTCACGGGCTTTTTCGTGGTAGCTGTCTCTGCTACCACACCAACGCCTCTCTCGATGAGCGAGGTCTCGCCGCTTGCGCCCCAGCCAGGGCAGGTTTCCTCGCAAATGAACAAACGTGTATTGACGTCACTGCTGACCAGCCATGAATTTCCATCTGTGGAAAAGGCGGTGTGGTCGACAAAAGTCATTGAAGATTCTATACGAGGGTTGTGCGATGGTTTAAAGTCCAATCCTCGTCCGCTTGTTGCGCCAGAGAGATCGGGCCGACGAACGCCTGAACCCGACAGTGGTCGAACCACACTAGCACCTCCCAAAACGCCTCCTCCTCGTCTGGTCAATGGCAAGAGGCCGATGGTCGACATATCTCCCAATCCATTTCCAGAGCCGGTTGCTTCTCTGGAGACATACAACTCGTACATATTTGGTTCTATTGCGGTGAACAATCTCCTACCGCCGAGAAGGGATGACGGGGATGGTACAGGCGCTGGTAACGGCAGACCTCCAGTAATCACGGTGCTGACAGCGAGGAAGAAGAAGCGGACAAAATCATAAAAGGATGCGCGGTGAATAATTCTCAAGCTTATCATGTCATATACGTGCTGAGGTATTTGAAATAGGGTTCTGCAGGTCAGTCACGGTAAGACCGCGATTACGTCGCTGGTGTTGACGTACGTACGACTGGCCTTGAATGAGTTGTAGCAGAGCGTCGCGGGTACCCATTTTTAGGCTTGTCATGTTGCTCTTTATGAAAGTGATGCTTACACCTCGCGCTAGCTTGATATGATCGGATCTTGGACCGTGTGCTAGTGCACGGTAACTGGGGTGGTTACGGGGCAAAGTGACTACCAGGCTCGAAGTTTGATGGCAGAAAGATTTGAAATTTGAATTGAGATCTAGGTTTGGGAGAACGGACGTTTGCGTTCGGTCGAAGATTCTCGGGATTTCATTAGTTATCTGTATGGGCTGATGCTACGCCTTTACGTCTGAGAGGGCATCGATAAGGAGACAAAAAGTGAGATTTGGATTCGGGACATTTGGTTTGGATGCAGTAAATGAAGTCGGTTACGATACATAGGCCTAGGCTTCTTTTCTGGTCTACACTGGCAGTTCGGGTGTTTTTAGAAGCTGTGGGTTATTGTGTCGAAGCAGAGAGGGTACCCACGATTGTTACGTAGGGAATAAAAGCTCGACATATATAATTTAAAAAGTTGGGATTGGCTATCTATAGGGATTGATAGTGATATCTGAATCAGTGCTTGACCCGCATGGTGATTTTCCATTGGATTATGAGAATAAACGCTGGATGATGGTGCCAGTGCATGCAATGAGGCAACTACGGAGAGGTATTAACTACGCCCTTGGAGTATCGGTTGCGAAGGAAGACAGTACTAGTGCTGTGATAATCCGTTTGTTACGCACTTTAATTAAGTCTCCACCAATTAGAAGAATTAGTTGAGCGCGCGCTGAAGTCTCGCCCGGGGTGAACGTACTCAATGACTGTGGGATATAAAAATCTCCACACCTCGAGGATGAGTGCGTCAGAGTACTTTGAAAACTTTTGCTTCTCTGATTTCCTCGGAGTAGGATGGCCGATACATCGGATAATTATGCTGCCAGAGGTACTATGTTTTTTAAAGATCGGTGATGTTAGCCGTTTGATGGCTGTAGCTAGCTAGCTTATGGAGAGCAGTGCTAGTAGATAACCGGGATGATGCATTATTAGTGGTGATTTGGAGGAGATTCGTGTGCGACTTTAAAAGTAAGTGGTCTTCCGTGTAAACGGTATCAGTTAACCAAATTATTACGCGACTTGTAGAAGACTTGGCTTCTAGAACACATACTAGTAACTTTCATTTTTGGTTCATATCCCATTGACTTTCAACGCTATTTCGATTTCGACTTCAAGTTCGAATTCGGTTCCGTTCTCCTTTCAACCACTCCGTCCATCATGTCTCTCAATCATCCTCCAGTTATTCAACAATCCCTACCATCTTTTGCACAAGCTTTTAGCAACTCTTCTCTAAGTTCAATAACTCCTTCAAATAACGCGTTACCCCCAATTCAACCTAGTTTACACCAAACTATATCACCGCCCCTCTCCTCGCGTCAACCAAGTCTCGAACAACTACGAAACTCTAGAAAGCGTTCTAGAGAAGAGGTTCAGTTAACAACCCGCTGCGAGAGTACATCGGACTCTGGGTATGTCTATCCTCACACTCTCATAATGCCTATTTTCGTGCCAACTACCTTCTCACAAAAGCCATAACGATAATGATAGCCGTCAGTCACCCAGAGTCCTCCGAATTAAGGAGGAAGACGACCGCGATGACAGTCTCATATCATCCCCATCTCCTCCTCCTCAAAACCAGATTCTCAACGAATCAGGTATTACTATCAATCCACCGTCGCCCAAGAAACGACGGGTGACAGTGAGTGGTATTACACACTCATTGAATTCATCAACCCTCCCCTTCTCCTCTGATACATCACATTCAACACCAATCACTCCCGTGGTCATAACAATACCAACCGGTGAAGATGTTCAGTCGAGGTCCCTTCAGACCCTAAAGCAACAACCAAAATCCTTGGCTGAACAACGCAGAGGGAGTTTTGCTGGTCCTCCCGGTCCGAGCACCATGCTCTCGGCTGCTATAAATGGTACTCCATCCTCTTCTGCCACCTATTCTCCTCCAGAAGGTCCTTTGCCAGCCCCAAAGCTCACAGGTCAACCAAGGTTAGGTCGACGCAGTCCAAACACGGTTGCACGTTCAGGTGGAACCACTCTTGCATCTGGCAGTCGTGCGACTCTTCCTCACCCACCCACTCCTCCCCCTATGATTGTCCCAAGTCAACAGCCGCCCGCTCTCACCGCGAATCCACCCCCTGCCGAGGCCCCATCAAATCCACAACGGAGCCCCCCCTCCAACTCCCTCCCACCTCCCCCTATCAGCTTCGCTCGTCGTCGTGCAGCTCAGTCGGGTAATCGCAAAAGAAAGCCAGCTGATATCGTCATAAGCCCTCGTGGTGCAAACTCATGTGAATCACTGGCACCTGTCATACAAAGCGCTCCTCCAGTTCCAGAATTTGGTCGTTTCCCCATGGCACTGCCTCGACTTCCAACCGCTCTAAGTGGAAGTCAGACCACTCGAAGAGTTGCAACCAATGTGCCTCCAACACCGACTCGATTCGGCTTGCAGCACACAGCAGGTCCCTCGGTGAACAGTGCCTCACGGGCGGGGACATCTACACGATCTCCCCCTGCTATACCAATCGCAAGCTCATTGGTACCACCCACACCTCGCTCCCTACAACATCCTGGTTATTCGGGAGATAAATCTGCCTTTTTGGCGCCCTTCGAGGTCTTCTATGATGCGCTCAACGACTCGAAGCAGATGAAAAACTGGCTGTCAGAACAGCTGCAAAAATCAAACGCGCTCTTGCAATCTCTCCAGAAGGTGGATCAGGTCGTCGAGGATTTGGTGGAGAGAAAAACGCGTGCCATGCAGGAGGAGATGCAAAGTATGCGTCAACGCATGGATTCATTAGAGGAAGCACTTCGTGCTGCGCGCGCAGACTCGGCACGCACCCACAGCATGAGCAATATCGGGTACCCTCAAGGCTCAAAGTTCCCTCAAAATGGAATGTCTTCTAGTTCAGAACCATCATCATCATACAGATTTCCCACCACTGATCAGCGCCGACGAGTCTCACCACCTAGTTGGGGCACTGACAAGGACCGCGGCGCGTCTCGCTCTCCTGATACCGACCGCCGAATGTCTATTTCTGTCGCACGGTTAGAGCCCTCTCGTATGATGTCGAGCGACCAATCACAAGTACCTTATTCGCCATTCACCTCCACCCCTCGCAGCGGACCCGTTCCTGCGTCTAACCCAAAAGGCACGCCGCCGTTACGATCTCAGGCCGTACCTGAGCGTACATCTACGCATCGCCAAGCAGACGCACGGCAAACGAACCGAATGTACTACCCAGGATCGTATAACGGTGGGAGTGGTGATAGCGGAGCAACGTCAAGGGCCAACGACAGCCATAAAAATCCCGGCGCGATGGATGAGCGCTGAATCCCGAATCTGAGATTTCTGTTCCACACCACATTCCTTTCTTTAGCTCTAGTGCGCATCGCTCTCCGCTCTCTTCGTCTTCGATGCTATTCGGACTTCCATCGGACGTTCTGCATGACGATCTTGGACAGATATCTCTGAATCTATACTTGGCATGCGTTCTTGTTTACTTAGTCACAGTACTTACTAGTCGCTCTCGAGTTCTCGTTCGCATGTTCCGTTTCGTTTGATGCTGATCAGAGTTTTTACATGGATATCTCTACTTAACATACATGGTCTTCTCCGGTTTTCACGATTCGTAGTTTTTCGTCTGTTATATATGTGTACTTATAGCTTTGGTGGAACACGTTTCTTCTGGTGGTTCAATTGCAACTTCTCCCCGTTCAAAGTTCCAACTCAGAACTGCAGGTCCAGGTGAATTTCACCGCTACCATCGCCCATCAATCTGGTGAAATCAACCGCAATAAATGTTGAACATCACTAGGTACTGGTTGTACCTTTAGCCGTTTCGCGTATAATAGAACACGTTTCTTCTGGTGGTTCAACTTCTCCCCCGTTCAAAGTTCCAACTCAGAACCGCTCCGCCATCCAGGAGAATTTCACCGCTACCATAGCCCATCAGTCTGGTTAAATCAACCGCAATAAAAGTGGGACATCACTAGGTAGTAAACTGGCTGTACTTTTAGCCGTTTCGCGTCTGGTAGAACACGTTTTCTTCTGCTGGTTCAAGTTCCAACTCGGAACTGCTTCAGCTCCGAACCGTCCTTGCGATCACTAGGATCGGCAAAATGCGCCTGAAGAAGAGACGCGTCTTTTTTAGACAAGTCCGCGACATTTCAATTAGAGAAATGCTGACGAGGTGCCGAACTGCTGACTGATACGGTCCTACGCTGACTAGCCTGTGGAGTTGCAACAGTCATGAGCCTCGTCCGCCCAAAATCAAATATGCGACGTCATTCAGTGGAAGCATATAGCCCTAGAACGATATGCAATCTGTCTTTAACCGCCTCAGCGCAGTAGCAAGATCATTATCTACTACTCCTTCTAGCAATATGTCTAAGCCTTTTATTCTCTATACCGCTGGTACTCCCAACGGTCACAGAGTCAGTGTTTTCCTTGAAGAGCTCAAAGCTATCTATGGCAACAAGGTCGACTACGAGTGAGTACCTCCCTTCCCTATTTCCACCCTTCCTTCCCCAGACCTCTTCTGACCCTGAACTCTTCTGACCCTGAACTCATCCCTTGAATTCACTGGTAATAGCGTCGAGGAAATAGCCGTCTTCAAAAACGTCCAAAAAGAGCCCTGGTTCATCAAATTGAATCCCAACGGAAGAATCCCAGTCCTCGTCGACCGCCAGCGGGAGAACTTTGTAGTTTTTGAGACTGCTGCTATTTTGCTTTATCTGGAACAGCATTATGATCCGGAGTTTGGGCTTGGGTTTGACCCTGTGAAGCAGCCGAATGAGTATAGTGAGATGATTCAGTGGATGTTTTGGGCGGTGAGTACTAGTCGTGGTTTTTGATTTTGTTTGAGGTTGGGGTGCTGATGGGGTTGTTGGTGTAGCATGGTGGTGTTGGGCCTATGCAAGGGCAAGGTCTGTATCATTGTTTTTGTTGCTGCGGTTTTGTGTTCACGCAAAGCAGCGAATTATTTCAACCGTTTCGCTACGGAGGACATTCCCTACGCGAAGAAGCGTGAGTTTCTTTGCTTGATGTCTCTCATCCACCTTTCTGACGCCCATTCTCAGGTTACTTCGACGAAACGAAGCGCCTTTACGGCGTGATGGAGATTCGTCTCCAAGACCGTGATTACCTCGCTGGTCCCGGTCGAGGCATGTACAGCGCCGCAGACATCAACGTTTTCCCATGGTATGTTTTTTCAAGCTTTGTTTCTATTTGCTACGTTTTACTGAAAGGGCGTTGTAGGATTCGCGCTCATTCATGGGCAAGTATTGAATCCATTGATGAATGGCCGCATCTCAAGGTATGCGTATGAGTGTATGAAGTTGTGTATCTTGTACTAAGCGTTTTATTTAATTAGGCGTGGTTCGATCGTATCGAAGCTCGCGGACCTGTCAAGGCTGGTTGCTGTTCCGTAGTGTAATAGCGCTGGGTCCTACATCAGGAGAATGGAATTCTTCTAGAGTATGTGACTCAACGTTTCGACCCTAATCCTGATTGATCAACACGCTGCGGATGTAGCATATTTGTTCAATAATCCGACTCTTGCATTTGTATTGTACCTCAGTCGTTGTATGATGATATGATTTTGATGTGGATTTACAGATGTGACTGTCGAATTGGGCTGCCTCAAGTGCGAACAGGTGACGCTTTAGTATTCGAGAGGCCACACTGGGCGAAAACTTGCAAGTGAAAGGGTGAACTAGGGACAAGCCTCATTGGTGGTTGCGCGGTATGATATATCATCGCACCCGCGTCAAGCCATCCACCATACTCCTAGAGACTTACTTCTGGAAGAGGCTGACGTCATGGCAGGATGATATCTCTTCAAGCACGGCATCCCTGCCGGTTGAACAGCGTACGCATGCGCGCTGGCCGAGCCCAGGGCAGCCTACAGCGTAATCAACTTGAATTAGGACATTCCAATATTAATCGAGGTACTGTTTCTCTTCATTGGATGCCTAGGCCCTGAGAAAATAGCAGCTTTCTGGAATCTGCAACTTACACAAAACTTACAGTTGACTTATAGGTGCATGACATCTCAGTTGCGATTCGCGAATCTATTCCTCCGCTGCATGCCCCGAGCCAGTGGGCCGGGTCGTTCCAGATTCGAAACACCGTCCAGACTCCACAACTACTATCTCTCTTACTCAAATAACGGCAGCCATGTTGTAACACATTCCCAATTGTTCGTGCATTTTTATCTATTTCTAACGCTCACGAGCAGCGACTTGCTTGTTTCGGGTTTGTTATCAGATAAGTGCTTATCAAGAACCAGCGCCGGAATTTTCCCCCGTTCCCGGCTGTTCCCAGACAGCCAGACTTTTAGGTATGTCGCTTAACAAAGATGTCTTGACTTGACATAATATCGTCTCGACAACTGATCGTGTTAAAATGCGCAGGTTATAAATACAGATTCGTGTTTTCGTGCCATATCAAGGTGGTTTGCTGCATCTGCCTCTGGACTCGCAAGGCTCTCTCCCCTGACTAGTCAGAATGGATACCTCCGATTCTCCTCTCATGATAGCAAACGAGACCACGCCTCTGATCCCTCCAAGGCGCTTGAAAAAACCTAAAACGCCTCTTCCAAAACTCCAGATAGGCATACTCATGATGATGCAAATTGCAGAACCCATCGCCTCGACGTCTATATTCCCGTACATCAATCAGGTATAACTTCACAGTGCCATTTTCTCCGACATACGTGTTTGATATCGTTTCGCTCTCAGCTTATCAGAGAACTTGGAATCACTGGAGGGAACGATGCGGCTGTAGGATATTATGCTGGAATCATTGTAAGTGTCGAGATTACAACTTACGAGAACGGTTTGCTTATCATGACCTATCGGATGTGATCGGCAGGAGTCTCTGTTTTATGTCGCGCAGGCACTAACAGTGCTGAAGTGGAGTCGGCTGTCTGACCGCGTCGGGCGTAAGCCGGTCTTACTAGTCGGACTATCAGGATCTTGTATTTCGATACTATGTTTCGGCCTCTCGACGACCTTCTGGAGCCTTGTCATTAGGTATGTCTCAAGCTGAACGAGATACGCAATGCTGAGATAGTTTCTCTAGCCGCTGCATGTGCGGTGTTCTGAATGGCAACGTTGGAGTTATGAAAACCATGATGGCAGAATTGACGGACTCGACAAATATGGCTCAGGGGTTTGCGTTGATCCCGATCGTCTGGAGTATTGGATGCTGCGTTGGGTAAGTGGGACTATTGGCTATGGGGATAGCGAATGATCAAATTCGCACGTCAGTCCTTTAATTGGCGGAACGCTCGCGCGACCGCAAGATCATTGGCCTGCATTATTTGCCAATCCATTTTGGGGAAAATACCCATACTTTCTGCCTTGTGCAGTGGCTGCTTGTCTGTTCGTCGTGGTCATTTTCGCACAGTCACTCTTTTTAGAAGAAGTGGGTCCCATATGCCTGTCTTATCGCACACATCACTCACAATCATCAGACATTATCAACAAAGCGCCGATCAAAGTTGGCATCAACTACGCTCGGCGTTTCAAGCGATGCCGACAGAGAAGCACTTGCTAAAAAATCCATGGCAGATATGCCCTTGCGATCTCTGCTCACACCTAGCATTGTTATCCCAATTGCAAACTACGCCATGCTCGCCTTCCTTGACGTTTCTCTAAGGGCTCTCATGCCTCTGTTCTTGTCGACGCCTGCCTATCTTGGCGGCCTTGGATTTTCTCCTTCTACTATTGGTTCGTGGCTGGCGGTCTTTGGGATAGTGGACGGTATATTTCAAGCATTGTTCTTCGCCAAAATCGTCAATTGGCTCGGTCCCAAGCGTCTATTCTGTGTGTCAGTGTCGTCATTCGCACCAGTCATGGTTATGTTTCCGATAATATCATGGCTTGTCCGCACAAGAGGGGTGGTTGATCATACAATCACATTTTCCTTGCTTGTGCAACTAGTTCTGACAGTCATATGGGATATGGGATTTGGTGCGTGCTGTTATGAAAACATATTGTCATTACAAGTAACCCACTTAATTACAGGGACCGTCTTCTTGTTTATCACAGCCTCTGCCCCTACAAAAAACGTTCTTGGTGCTATTAACGGCCTTGGCCAAACCTCCGCGTCAGTAGCTCGTGCCGTTGGGCCCGCCTTGGCGACTTCGCTCTTTGCTTTGTCAAAGGAACACAATCTTCTCTCAGGAAACGCGGTATACGTCGTCTTGATTTTGATGGCTGGTGCATTGAGATGGCTGGGGTCGCAGTTGCCGGATGAAGTACAAGACAGGGACGAGTGAAAGGTCAGTACCTCTCTCGCGCTTCACCACTTCAGCATGCATGAGTACCCAGAAATTTCAATGGACACGTCAATTCTCACACAGCACATCATGTCACATACTGCGAATGCTACCATTCAAACGCACTTCAACTTGTGCCCATGGTATGTCTTTGAGAGCCTATGTAATACAGTACGATCTAGTCGTGGGGACCCTGTGTCCACCTGCACCGCTAGATTCATGAATGCCCCGGTGAGGCAAGCATCCACCAGTCCGCCGCGCGTTTTAGACATGCAATCTAACGAAGGGGAAGTGAACGCGCGATAGTTAGAACTGAGTAATATGCGAATCGTCTGGACGCGTTCTGACACTTCTACCCTGACGTGCCATGTACAAAACGACTTAAATCCAGTTGTACGGCACCATTAGGTATCACCAGCGTGTTGTGGGCATAGACGGTCGGATGGAAGTGGCCTGGGATCTACAGGAGAAGCCGACCTTCGGGACCTATAAACCATCCCTCCTGTGAGAGAGGCTGGAGTGCAAGAACCTTGGAGAAAGGAGGTTGTAGAAGCAAGAGCATGAGTCAGGGTGGATGAGAAACACGTTAGACGTGCTACGGAGGTCGGTAGTCCAGATCCCACACCCGGATCGATCCATCAGGTGAAGCAGACATAATGGTTTTTCCATCTGGAGAGATTGTGACAGACTGAACAAAGTTAGTGTGCCCTCGGAGAGGGACACCAAATGCCTCGCCGGTATCCGCATCCCATACCCGGATTGCCATGTCCTCTGACCTAGACACGATGCGTCGTGCATCTGGCGAGATTGCAACAGACCGAATGTAGCCGGTACGTCCTCGGAGCGGGGGATATGTCCCACAGCCTAATTGTGCAGTCGGCTGGACCAGACACAATGCAGTAAACACGGAGAGTGTGTCCTCAGAGAGGAAGACCCAGTGCCTCGCCAGTATCCGCATTCTATATCCGGTTTGTCTTGTCGTTTAAACATGATATGAATCCTTTACTACTGGCATCGGGCGAGACAACGACGGCCTGAATGATGTCAGTGTGCCCTAGGAGAGGTCGACGCGATGCGCTGCCACTCTGTGTTCCACACCTGGATCGTCTTGTCGACTGAACCAGACACGATGCGTAGTCCATCTGGCAAAAATTGGAGAGACGAGACGTAGCCAGTATGCCCCCGGAGAGGTGGGTGCAATGCCTCACTAGTCCTCGCATCCCACACTCGGATCACTCCGTCAGCTGAACCAGATACGATGTGATTCCCAAATGGCCAAATTGCAATCGACAAAATGGGGCTGAGCCACACGTGGAGTGATGCTTCCTTCAGAGGCTAATGTGCCATCAGGAAAAAGCCACCTCACTACATAGTACTACGAGTCCACACCCGTTGTGCCTTCGGCACATGTCTACATTTATTTGTATCAAATCAATAATGTCTTACATCTTACATTTACAAAATACCATATACTTTTGTTTAGTTGTGAGAAAATAGGAAACAGGAAACAGGACCGGCCACGGGATTGCAAGCCAGTGTCCCAGGTAAACTTCAGTCTCACTGTTTGTGTCTTGCTGTTGACTCTTGCCCTTCCCAAAAAATTCTCCTGTTTCCTGTTTCCTATTTTCTGCTTTCCTATCTCCCGTTCTCCCGTTCTCCCATTCTCCCGTTCTCCCATTCTCCCATTCTCCCATTCTCCTGTTCTCCTGTTCTCCTGTTCTCCCATCCTCCCGTCCTCCTCCTCCTCCCATCTCCCCATTCACCCCATTTCTCCATTCTCCACCTTCCCATTCCCATGTTTACCCATTGCCCATTTTTCCTATCTTGATATTTTGGCATTTTTCACATTTTCATGTATACACAATTACAGTACATATACATCATTGTTGTTTTCACATTTTTCTATTTCCTTGGTGTTCTTTTTCTATATATTGTGGCTGAATCCCTTGTGGCTCAATTTTGGATTGGACAGTATAGTAAGGGACAACAGTTTTTGGAAATTGAAACTCCGATTGACAGAACCATGTGAAATTTCTAAATCGAGGTTTGAGCGAGCTAAGCATTCCCATGTGGCCTTTAGTGAGCTACGTGTCTCCCACACACAGCCACAAAACCAGTCTCCCATTCTTCTTAGATATAGTCAGGGTAGTCCATGTAGCTCAGTAGCTACCTGCCCTCATCAGGACATCACCGAGTTCCTTTTCGGACTTAATTTGTTCCTTACTTACCTTAATTCACACAATAAGGTAAATTCAAGGTCATTTGTTCACACTTAGAATAAGGAGAAAAAGGAGGTCCATCCCCTTAAACCAAGGAGATAAGGGACTTCTCCTTAGAATACTCCGTCAAGGCAAATAAGGTGGTCAAAAATACTATTATTGAGACAGACACAAGGAACAATCAAGGTAAGCTAAGGCAAAAAAAAGGAAGATTAAATTCCACTAAAATAACAAAAAAAAATCAAAAAGGTGTCCAAAAGCACATGATAGCCTGAGCACGAGTAAGTGATGCAATTGAAGCAGGGGTTGAGCATGCATGCTAGTAGTGGCCAACTAATTCCTGTCAAATATTAATGTTAGAGCAAGAAATATAAAAGAAGTACAAAGACACTACAGATGTGGATGCGTGAGCGCAGATTCACAGGCATATGACTGTCACCATCGAGAATATCTTCATCCTGACCCCTGTGGTGCACACACTTCACATAAGGTTGAGATCATACAATGATTTCCTGCATGCAGTCAAAGAGCAGCTCCTCGATTTATTCTATGTATGTTACGGGAAAGCCCGGCTTTCCAACAGTGCACTTGATAGGGTCAATCCTGTGTCCGCTTCATGGAGCACCGAGACGATGGAAGACTGAATGAAGGCTGTTCATCCAGAATGACTGACTGAAGGTTCAAAGAAGAAGCTAGAGTCGTATATCACAAGTGAAGATCAAGTTAGAAAAATACATGGTCTAACTACAGTGGTATATATAGGTATTGTCCTATGAGTTCAGGGTAGGCTTGGGTAGCCAGAAAGTGTCCTAACTGTTCAATGGTAAGGGTCCAGGGTATGGTACCGGCACAGCGGTAGGTGTCCAAGTCAGATAACGCTATCTGTCATGATAAGCGATAGGATAAACAATAGTTGTTACCAGTGTATCGGTAAGGGCGATAAGGGAGAAGCGCGCGGCTTCTATTGATCCCGGTCTAGGTCCAGTCTAGAGCTGTCATGCTCCAACAGCTGTCATGCTGTGGTCTGCAGTTTAGTCACATGCTGGTGATGTCATCTGTCATGTGTTGTGATGCAGTCATGGTGGCAACATTTTGGTGGAGATGATAGGGGTCTGAGGGTCCCTGTCACAATGTATGTGAGTGTGTATGTAAAATAGATATGGGAGAAAGATGTATTGTGATATTGCTCATCTTGTTGGTTGCTTGGTTGAATGTCAATGTGATCTTATGTTTGCCATGGTCCGAAGAGTGCTGCGAGTGCTGAGTACCGAGTTCCAGGCACTGAGTTCTGGGCATCGAGCACCGAAACATGAAACTAAAATAAAACATTTCATAAATTGAGCAAATCACCAAGTACCGAGTACTGAGTTCCAGGCACCAAGTGCCAAGTACTGAGTTCTGGGCATTGAGTTCTGGGCATTGAGTACCGAGTGCCGAAACCTGGCACTTGGCACTCGGTACTTGGTGATTTGTTCAATTTATGAAATGTTGTATTTTAGTTTTGTGTTTCAGTGCTCAATGCCCGGAACACCATGCCCAGAGCTCGGTGCCTGGAACTCGGTACTCGGTACTTGGTGATTTGTTCAATTTACGAAATACCCAGAACTCAATATTAGTTACCCGGACGTTGGTATTAGTTACCTGGAACTTGATGATTTCATTCTTTGGGTATGCCGGAGGTACAATGCATTTCAACAACATTTACAGAAATATAACACTACCAAATTATGTAGACATTTCAACCTTGCCCAGATGACCCTCATCACCACCTTCAACTTCAACCTTGACCTCAACATCTATGTCATCAGCAGAATCATATTCTGGGACAATCAATTTTCAAGGGTGTGGGCTCCATCACTGCCATCAAAAGATTGATGAGAGGAGGGAGTGTGGATTGGGAGGGTGACGTTGTTCCAGTGACGGATTGATCAAGCAACAAAGACATTGCATTTGCTGGAGTAGTGGGAAGGGGAAATGAGGGATGGTGTTCCATGGTTTCACATCGAAGGCTCTCATGGAGCCTGGTGAGGGTATCAATACATCTGCCCTGCTCGGCAACAAGATCCTTGAGAGCCTTGATGTGTCCAGCACTATCATGAATACTCATTGCCATGGAATGGAGGTCCAGCATGGGGACATTGAGAGCCGCACGAGGCATGCGGGCACTCAAAGATGCAATTGCTACAAAAGAATAACATAAGATGATGATGAAAAATTCGAAAGACTTACGAGCTGGTGCAGGTGAGGGTGTAGGTGGTGGGGCGGGTGCCTTGACAGCAGTTATTGTCTTGCTGTGACTGCGCGTCTTAGGCGTGGTCACAGCAGACGCACTGGCAGTTCCGGCAGCACCAGCAGCACTGGCACTGGTAGTTCCAGCAGCACTGGCACTGGTAGTTCCAGCTGTGCCACAAGATTGGCTGCAGGTCTGGGCCTTTGGTTGGGAGGTGGACGGACCTTTGGAAGGTGTCCGGGACCTGGCCTTCCGGGTGGTTGACTTACCCCGTGACCATTTCAGTGGACTTCTGAGGGTGACAGAAAAACACTTTACCTTCTTTGTGTTGCAGAAAACACAGGAGAGAAGGCCGTTCCCAGTCCTCTTGTTGAAACAGGTCATGCAGGGCAACTCCGCATTGTTGCAAGCCCAGCATGGGTTGTTCTGTTTGTTCATTTAGTTGAAGGATGTGCAATGAATTTTCAAAGTACTCATGGGTCTGGGAATGAGAATGTCATCTGTATCAATGACAGTTGGCACCATGACCGGGGTGACTGCGGGGGTGTTGGACGTTGAGTCCGTGTGCTCAATGACTTCTGGATGGCTTCCGGCAGGGCCATTGATGACAATTGGCGCCACCACTGGGGTGACCACGGGGGTGTTGGACATTGAGTCCGTGTGCTCGATGACATCTGGATGTCTTCCAGCAATTACCTGATGAAGGTACGGATGATGGGGAGTGATGCAGGCATAAATTAGACATACCTTTGCAGGGCCGAAAGGTGCCTTCTTGGGGATCTGGGGTGAGACTGAGGTGAGATGATAAACTAAGACGACCGGCCCTCCTTGGGCAGCCGGCTGCAAAATAATGAGTGAGAACAAAAAAAAAAAATGGAATGACATACCTTGTCTTCATGTTCATCCTTGGACTCCACAAACTCGGACGACTTCACAACACGAGCTGACTTTGCCCTCTTGTGACTCTTCATCGCAGATTTCAGCGGTTGGGAGGAGAGTCCCAAAATCAGGGGTGATTTCCTCTTCCTACTCCTGTCCACCTCAGGTTCTGGGTCAGCATCTAGCACTTTACCCTTACCCTTATCCTTACGCTTCTCCCGGGACTCGGCAATAGTGCCGGAAGATGGGCTGGCAATGCTGCCAGCAACGACAGGTGGGGAGGGAAGGTCAATGGCGACAGTGTCAGGGGATTTGGGGGCCTCAAGGGGAAGATCAAATGTCTGGTCGCCTAATGCCTCCCAGGCGAAGACCTTGTGGCACCAGCTGTGCTTCTGGAGGCAAGGATCGTTATGGCCGATGCTGTGCCAGTTGGGCCAAACCTGGGGGGACATGTGCCAAACGCAAAGTAACTCCTTGGAGCAGGACAAGACTATGCCCAGAATGCAAGGTGCATCCTCATGGTCCCAGACGGCCTTAGCCTACCCAGACACTAGAGAAAACAAAACGAAAAAAGGAAAAACCACATACCACCAGTTCAGTGACTTGTGCTTTCAGAGCCAAGTGGCTGTTGCCAGGTGGGAGCAGCCGAGCCGTGCGGACAATATCAACAATCTGCCTAGTGATTGCCTTAAGTTCGGCAAAAGAGGTTTCAGCTGGAGTGGACATGTTGAATGATGAGAAAGATGTGTAAATCTTTGAATCAGATGTGAAAATGATGAAGTTTCAGAGAGAAAACAGGCAGTTGAACAACCATGTAAAACTTTGTTGATTTGTTTGGCTTTGTTTGGTGATGGTTCAACTTTCAGAAGTTGCTGGACTTCAGTTGAACTTCAAGTACACAATCAATTATTGGTACATCTGTCCCTCAAACAACATGAATTCACATCCAACAGTCAGATTTAATGATCCTCTGGCGACCAAGTATTATTCAATGGATGTAGATGATTCAACACAGTCCCGGACATCAACAGGTAAGATCTATTTGTACTATGCCTTATCTATGTATTTATCTTACATGCCTTAGATGATTTATACCTTGGGCCAGATGATGACATAGAAGATGATTCTGTGTCATCCAGTGGTCCGGATGTGTTGGCTGCAATCCCCGGTATGTTTATCACTTAGATATTACCATGCATGTTCACTAAACTCTTACAGATCAATGACCTCTGGCTCAATATGATAAACCAGTTCAGTACATCGACCTGTACTTGTACCTTGGGCCTGATGAGGATCTGATTGATTGTGATGATGAGCCGGAGTCTGGCTATGCACGTAGTGAGTCTCCAGTCGCATCTGAAGTTTCCATGTCATGTATGTAAATTCAACTCATTTTTCGATCAACACTTGATTTATCTCACAAGCAAATGAGAGACCTGTCAAACACGATCCAGCACATCCAGAGGTCACCAATGAAGATTTGTATGTGATGGTTTGTGAGTTTCGGCCAATAGGGTCATTTGAACACTCTGGATGTGAGTATCTGGTATACTACTATATCTATCATTTTTCTTATTTTCATTTCAGTGCAATCCCTTCAAGATAGACTCAGCAGCTACAAACAAGATAATGGAGGTCTTCCGGTGCCTTCCATACCACTACTCATCGAGGTCGAGCAACCATTTCAAATGGCTTGGGCGGATACATCTGACAAGCTCCAGAGGGCTGATTCTGGGCTACAGAGGCTGAGAAGAGCTGAACAGGCAAGCATCAAAATGCTCAAGGTGGTAGATTCCATGATTTGTCAGTGTGAAGAACAAAACCAAAACTAAACTTCTGAATTTTTGATACCATCACATGTAAAGTACCAACTCAGTAAACTACTGAATCTTCGATAACATAGTCACATGACATGTAAATTACCGGAACACTGAGGTGTTACATTACTGCCATGTAGAATAAGTAATCTATCAAGAGTTCCAGGTATCAAGTTCCGGGCATCAAGTACCAAACACTGAATACCGAGTTCCAGGTATTGAGGTCCGGGCATCGAGTGCCGATTACTGAGGTCTGGGCATCGAGTTCCGGGCACCAAGCACCAAAACACAAAACTAAATTACAACTTTTCATGAATTAAAACAAGTACCAAGTGCCAAGTGCTGAGTTCCAGGCATTGAGTACCGATTGCTGAGTGCTGGGTTTCGGCACTCGGCACTTGATTCCTGGAACTTGGTATTTGTTACCCGGAACTTGGAACTTGGCACTCAGTACTCGATGCCCGGAACTCGGTACTTGGCACTTGGTACTTGTTTCAATTCACGAAAAGATGTAATTTAGTTTCATGTTTCGGTGCTCAGTGCCCGGAACTCGATGCCCAGACCTCAGTAATCGATACCCAGAACTTGGTATTTGTTACCTGGAACTCGGTACTTGGTGATTTGTTCAAATTACTCAGTAAACCACCAAATCTTTGACAACATATTAACATCACATGTAAATTGAATACTGATTGAATAACATTGATAGGGACATACTAGACAATGGTACAAGTACATTACTTTTTGCCCCTTGCTCTAGTAACTCTGTCAGATGGTTGTTGCACTGACTTACTCTGAGTTGTTCTCACCAGTGCCTCAATCACATCTTTCTTCCCCTGGATACTCTTCGGGGCTGGCAGTGGAACTTCATTTTCAACATTGCCGGGGCCCTTGGCATCACTCTCGGATTTGGTTGATGAATCCTGAGGTCTCTGGATCATCACCCTCTTATGCTTCAGATGAGGAGGTGATTTCTCAGATACAACAGAATCTACCATGTCGCCTTCTTTGTAACTCCATGCTTTGAACAGGAATGTCGGACCTTCACCTGTCTCCTGCCGAGCATACCAGAAATTGAGCAAGGCGGTGGTATCCCAATTTTGCAACTTGGAAGGCTCCTTCAAGTCTACATCTGCCAGAAGATACTGTCTGGCCACAAAGTCATCCTGACTTTGTACGATGGCACTCCATGGCACGACTGCCTTGTTAATCCCAGAACAGATCCCTGTACCCTCCATTAAACAGATTCTCTTAGGAAGTTGCAAAGCCAGACTCACAATAGTGCTTTGTAAGAAAAGCCCTCACCATGGCCTTCTTCTCCTCGAGTTTTGTTTCTGTGATGTCCAGAAGCAATGGCATCCCATCCCCGTCCATTTCCAGATTGAACACTGGTTTCTTCATTCTTTTTCGCCCTCCCTTCACCTGTCATCCTCCATCCTGTGCCTCGGCACCTATCATCCCGATGATCAATGAAATCATTCTCATCTCCACAGTGGGAACACTCACCAAACTGTTCCTGCGTGTACTCCTGCCAAACTGGCTCTATGTCCTCCCAGTCCTTCATCTTCATGAAGCTGTCCCCATCCCCTAATGCCTCATTATCATCATGCCTATGTGAAATAAGTTGAGACCAAATATCTGCAACAACAGATAAAATTCACTGACATCCCGAACAGCTCTTCCAAGCTGACAACACAAACACTCTCATCCCACATTGTCTCCACATCTCATTTGAAAAGTGCTCCATATATACAGGTCCCTTCTTATGGGCAACTTGCACCTGTATCTCAGGAGGAGGAAAGTTGTTGGACCATTCTTCGGTGGTTTCTTTTGCCTTCTCCAACTCATCCTTGGACAATTTGGCCATGACCTTCTTCACCACAGCTTGATAATGCTTGAACATGTCTTGACCTCCTGGCTTTGCCCTGGACTTGTCCTCGATCCTCTTTAGCACTTCCTCTCTGTTCTGCTGGTAGATCACCTGCCTAGGCGTCCATTTCCTCCCATACTTTATCATGTCCTTCCTTTCCTTCTTTTTCTTGTTGTTGAACAACCAAGTCTTATACATCTAAGAGGCAAAGGAAGAATCAGACATGAAAAATTGAGTTTTTCAACACAACAAGGATGTATCATCTGCTTTCTCTTTTTCCATTGTCCTTGGTTGACCTTAGGAGCAAATAACCTGGCCACTCGAGCTATGGCATTGAAAACTCCCTGTTTCTCGCTCCTTTTTGCAGAAGTCCACTCAGGAAGGTAGTTCTTCAGCTCTGAAATTTTGTTTTCTGTGAGCTTCTGTGACTGTGGTTGACACGTTCTGTGTCTTCTAGAAGTCAACTGAGTGGAATGACCTGATCTTGTCATGGTGAATAAGATTGCAGAATGTGCTGAGGATAAGCAAAGTGGAAGTAATAATGGTCATGAGTTCAACTTTGATCAAAGCCTAACAGTTGGTTAATCTACCTATAACAGACGCAATGCCATTAATTGAAATGAATTGGTAATGAGCCAACCAAACTGCATAATACGATAATGAAATAACAATTTGTTTGACCTTCCTGAGCTAATGCTTTCCTTGCAACATTGAAAAACAAAATGAAGATAGGTCATTGCACCCCATTGCAGAAATCCCACAGGGTAGAAGCAAGGGGCAGCAAAGGTAGGAAGACATGGGTCAAGGCCACTTGCCAGCACGAGACGACATGCCTACAGGTCCATGCCTAACTCTCCCCTGGAATCACCAACACTTGAACCTGTTCAGGCCCCCCCTCCTTGGGAAGACTTTCCTGACGATACTTATGAGCAAGACCAAGGGTCATTTGAGCCCTTGCAACTCCCAAAAACAATGGCAAGTTCATGTAAAATGTTGGAATGTCGTTCAAATGATAGCTAAGTATTAAAAAATGCAGAGTCAGAATGACTGCCTCAGGCAATGGCTGCCAAGGCGGGAATCATATCTCCATCACCTCCTGGATCAAGAAGCTTCACCAGAAGATAGGAGATGCGTCATCTGCAACCAGGATGGGGTCTACAAATGTCAAGATTGTCTTGGGGAGCCACTCTATTGCACAGGCTGTTGCTGGAGTCAACATCATTGCAATCCTTTCCACTGGATCAGTCAATGGAATGGTCAATTCTTCGAGCAAAGTTGTCTGGCTCATGTTGGACTTGTCATATACCTCAGTCATGATGGCAAGCAATGTCCGGTAGTCACAGATAGGTGGGATTTGTTTGACAAAGATGAACAAGAAGATCACTTTGAACCTGAAGATCTACCATCTGTGTTGGGACCCGAGTTCCAGTCCAAGGAAAATACAATGGTCATCGTTGACAAGTCAGGAGTCCATCGCCTCCAGGTTCGATGCTGTGATTGTCCCAATGCCATGAGTCCAGACATTCAAATGTTTCGACATGGCTTTTTCCCTGCATCATTTAACAAGCCGAAGACCATGTTCACCTTCAGAGTGCTAGATGAATTTCTGTTGGACAACCTCGAATGCGGCACCTCAGCGATGAACTATTACAGCAAGCTTCAGCAAATGACCTTGAGTGTGTTTCCACACCTTGTTCCGGTAATACCATATCTACATCATCTGAAGCACATTATATTGACAAAGCACATTGCAAGGACCGATACAGAGAGCTTATGAGAGTCGCTTGACAGTGGAGGCAGTTAAAGTCTATGAAATGGCATGGCTTCAGGCATCGTTCTGACAACCTGAATGCTGGAGATCTCGCATTATTTTGCTTGGCATGTCCTCAGCCCAGGATTAACATATGCTTGTCAGGGGATGAATCACTTGATGAGTGAGTCTTGTTCATTACCGAATCTACATCAGCGATATTAAAAACTTCAAGCTGGAAATACACCTGGTCATTTGTGATGGATGGAAATTTCAAAGCCGAACACCTGCATCCCATCAAGCCATATGATGAAGTTTGGCTCTCCAATGGGTTGGGATTTATGGTGGGAAAGGAAAGGTATCAAAAGCATCTTGAAGAGGCTGCTGACACTGTGGAAAAATCGAGCTGCAACAATCATCGGGCTATCAATCAAGCAAATGCAGCTCAGCACAAGCTGGAGTCCACCGGTATTGGGGGAGTAGCCTGTGCGCAACACAGTTGCTTTGTCCCTCACTCGATGGTAGATTTTTAGAAAGGCGAAAGGCAAGCCGGACATGCCGTTCAACATTCCTGAGTTGACCATTCATTGTTTGCAGACAAATGAACATGGACTATGCACTTTGTGAGGCTGCCCAGCACAACATGGATGGGATTACAAGGGCTGTCACCTTCTATGACATCAACTGTCAATACAACAAGCACTTGCATGTTCGGGTGGAGCGAGGCTGATTTCTGACAATGGTTCCAGAATTGACTGTCATTCCCGGAATCGGGCTGTGGCATATCCATGGACATCAGGATAGCTGCTATGTCAGATATGCGTCGAATTTCATTGAAGGCATTGGTCACATTGATGGAGAGATCATGGAGACCCTATGGGCACATCTCAATCTGATTTCTCCTGCTGCTTGGGGAATATCTTCCCTGCATCGGAAGGAATGTCTTGATTTCCAGATGAACTGATTCCAACTTTTGCAAGATGATCTGCATGAAGAGGACCCTTTGCCTGGAAATACAAGCAGGCGAAGAATGGCATCAGCTGAAAGTGGAAAGGCTTTCGACAGACTCAACAAAGCCGCACCGGCCAACTTAAAGACAGACTGGTTAGCAAGTGAGAGGATCGCTCAGTCCAACAGAATACAAGATCCAGCTGTGATGGATATATATGAGATTAATATCAAGAAGGGTAAGATCACTCTGTCTTGATTGAAGTCTGAATTCATTTTGAACCCAGCACCGAGCAAAAAGGAGATAGAGCTTAGACTGCTGCAGGAGGGTAATGCCCATCATGCAGCACCTTCTCGCAGATCTGTGGCAACATGGATATCAATGGGCCTGGCAATTGAAGAGGCTCAAATCGCATTGCTCATCAAGGTCCGAAGAATAGGAAAAAGAACTACCAAGACTCAGAGATTAGACATCGCCTGGCAACGCAATCATCTACAAGGCCAGATAGATGCATTCACTCGGACTGCTCTGACACATCTGGGAGAGGGATTTGATGCAGATGACGATCCTGATGATTTGAATATAGACATTCTTGATGATCTCGATGATGACCCAGAGGATTTCATCGGGACATCTGATACATGGACAAACTCCCCTAAGCTCACTGTCATCCCATTTCCATCAAACCTCGGGGTAGATCGATGCAAACATTGTATGGCAGAGGATCTGATTCTGCTGGAGTTGTTGCTTTGTGAAGGACAGGCCAATGATGCCCTTCACAACCTCCAAATTCACTTATGCAACAAGGCAATACTCTTCTGAACAACAGTTAGGCAAGCCAAATCTCAAGCAGTTGAAAACCCGAGCTTGGTCCCAGGTGACGTCAGTGCAGCAGGCAGTGTCCCTCCATGCCAGCATATATACCAAGACCAGGAAGCAAATGATGAAACTTGAGCCAGGCCAAGAGCAGCTGCAAAAATATAAACCCCTGCTTCAGGAGCAGCTCAAAGTCAGCATGGCCGTCAGTGATCCTAATGCCCTGAGGTCAGCGAATGAGTCTCTTGCTTGGTTCTGGTCTATCAAAGTAGATTTGGGGGGTCCGGATCACTCATGGAATGAGGAATGTGAGTTCTGGCTTGCTTGACAAATGCCTGTGATCTGACTGGACCCACATGTGAAGTTTACCGAGTTCATTGGCTTCGGGCAAAGGCACTACGGGATCAATGGAAGGAAGAACTGATATTGGTGGAATTGGAGATGGATTGGACATGTAATTTCTTCATGTGGAAATCAATGCAATGGGGCGACCAGATGAGGGAATCATTGGTGAAACACCTTCCGGGTCATGCTTGCTACTCCAGAAGGAGGCAATCCCAAATGTATTCATTACTGGTGCAGGATGCTCAGGCAGTGTTTCAAGACCTGCAGAGCATGTTAATAGATACCTGAGATGAATGAAGTATGAATATTTTCTGCTGATGTATGATTGGACCCCAACAATTGAGTCTCGGCAAGGGGCTGGGTCAGCCCATGTCAGGAGTTTGAATTCCTTATCAATCCATCAGTGGCTCCCATCTGAAAAAACTGTCATTATCATTGCTAGTGTCCTACTCCTGCATTGCTCATGTCTGAATTAAATTCACCTCCTGCATCCACTTCTGCCACTGAGGATTCCAGCAATGAATATAAACCCCCCACAATGAGTCTTGCAGATATTGCAGCTACATTGGTAATGGCTGCATCACACGTTCAAGCCTGTATCAGTCAATATCAGATGGAGGCTGCCGAAGAACAATGTTCCTTCGGCTCGGATAATCTACTTTAAAGCTGGAATCCAATGGGAGATCACTGTAAGCCATCAGACCTGATGACTGTGGTTGGCAATATGCTGAGATTGTGAACAGACTTTTGTGACACCGATTCTGCAGTACTCAGCTGCAAGGAACATAATTTTGGTTATGCCACCCCTGATCGCTCATATTCTTCACTTGTTTCCTCAGCTCACATGGAACACGGTTCCAGACCACATCTTTTCATCCCACCTATCTGAGTTTCATCTGGTCCCAGATCTCGGAGAACCCTCCCTGGATTGTATCCTCCTATGATACTCCGTGGTGGATGGGGGACACTACAATCCCTAACGAACCATGGCAATGGGTTCGGGTAATGGGTTCTTGTGTCTTTCACTACCAGCATTGGCTAGTAAGCATTATACCCAACTTCCTTGATAGATGACTAATCCGATCTAGAGCGGCGTTGAGGACAATGGTCTCATCCTTCCAGAGAAGGTGGACTGGCACCCCAGCTCCATCACTGGTGGGACTGAAGTGGATTAGGGAACACTTGGTGTCGTTGATTCAGGACCATCAGGAGGGCATCTGTGATAAGATGGTGGAGATTGATATGTACACTGACACCCTAGCCCATTTGAAGAGAGCCAGAGGGGATGATCCCTATTAAATGTTAGAGTATCAATGTCGAGTTCCGGGTATCAAGTTCTGGGTACTGAGCATCGAGTACCAAATACCAAATACCAAGTATCGAGTATCGAGCATTGAGTTCCGGGTATTGAGTATTGAGTTCTGGGTATTGAGTATTGAGTTCCAGGTATTGAGGTCTGGGTGTCGAGTACCGAACACCGAATACCGAATACTGAATGCTGGGTATCGACCTCCAGGTATCGAGTTCTGAGTTCCAGGTATTGAGTACCGAACACTGAATACCAAATGCCAAATGCCGAGTATCGACCTCCGGGTATCGAGTTTCGACTTCCAGGTTTTGACTTCTGACTTCTGGGCATCGAGTTCCAGGTGCCGAATGCTGAGTACCTGGGCATCAATTACTGAATGCCGAGTTCCGGGCATCGAGTACCGAGTGCCGAGTACCGAAACCTGGAATACACATTTTGTAAATTGGACAAATCACCATACTGAGTACTGAGTGCCGAGTTCCAGGTGCCGAGTTCTGGGTGTCGAGTACCAAACACCATATACTGATTACCGACTTCTGGGTGTTTAGTGCCAAATGCCGAGTTCCGGGAATGGAGTGCTGAGTTCCAGGAGTGGAGTACCGAGTTCTGGGTATCAAATGTCGAACATTTGTCTGTTTGATGCTTGATTATTGGCACTCGAACATTGATAATTAGTATTCAACAGTAGGTACTATCACATGGGTACTAAGCTATTTGCCTGTTCTATCCTTGCCAGGATGGAGTATGTACGCGATCCATCCTAGCCCATCCACATGAGGGAACCCTGGCATAAATATGAACAGAATCCCTCATGTACCATGCCCAAGCAATTCGAACCCCTTCCACTTCATGAACCCCATGTCTTACAATCCTTCCTGAAAATGCAATCATACAGCCAGGATTGTACATGAACTCCAGCTGAAGACTTGGCATACTCATGTAAGCATTCGAATAATTACCCACGGTGGTGAGAATATCAAAGCATTCAGGAATGGATATGTGGTCTCGATGATTGGGGGTTTGCCAATTGGAAATGACGGTGAGGGTGTTAAACACAGATGCCCAGTACTGGAGGGTCTCTGACATCCTTGGAAGATTCTTGCTTTTGGCTGATTGTCCGAGGCTTAAAAAGGCTCATATCCCTACCCAGTACTGCTCAGGATGCATCACCCTGAGTGCGGCTGATGCGATGGCTGCCAGCCTGGCAATGGCTTTGAGAATATTCTCGGAGAATGGTCCCTTCAATGAGGCAGATACTGCTGGGTCCGACAGATTCTACTGGATTGGTTAGTTTTACTATTGAAAATCACCATCTCATGAGATCTCACCTTGTGCCCTCATTGAAACCAAGCCGGAGATAGATTGATGCATCCGGGAGATATGCCATCATTTTCCGAGCTTGGTTTGAACCAATCCTGATTAGTTTGCCAACTCCCATCAACCTTTACACTTTTTGCAAGGCTCAGACTGAGCAAATTGGAGGCTGCCAGAATTTCCTTCTGGAGTTCCCATTTCATATTCCATATCCATTAAGTAACAAAATATATTACCCACCTGGGTGGTTTCTGTCAGGGCATCCGGGAGGTACCATGCAATGATGGCACCGGTAGCATCGAGAACTGTGGAGGGTATGTCGACCAACTTTGTACCTTCATGGCCAGGAGGACACCTCTCAAGCAACTTCACCTCTCTTTCTTTATTATGCCCAGTGTCCTTTGGGGAGATCATTTTGCTGTATCTCGCAATATCAATCTGCATCTGAACTGTGAAGCAATTTGAATGATCAAATGGACTGTCCGAATCTGCGGGAAGACCCACTGGGATTGTTATATGCCTTTATGAGGCAATCCACCAATCGATCACAAGCCATCACCAGATCGGTGTCTAGCTTAGGAGAAGGTATGACTGGGTCTCCTCCTGTTTTCTCAGCAATGAATTTCTGTTTGGTATATTCACATGCCTCATGAGTGACAGTCAAGGCCCAAGTGCGCCAGAAGGTTATTTCAATATTGGAGGTGGAAGACACATTCATGATGGTGTTGATCTTGGGAAATCAGATGGTCAATGCCAGATGTCCACAGACTTTAAAGGTGGTGGAGATAGGGTGGATCAGATAGGGAACCTTGATTTTAGCTTTCAAAGATGGATTATCATTTCATTGCTATACTAATATGTCAATGAAATACCGGATAATTGGAAGGGTGCTAGATATCAAATATTTGAGTGTCGAGACCCAGGTCCTGGAACTCAGTACATGATGCTCGGTTCATTCAAATTTTGGTAGTTGGAACTCAGCTTTCAAAGACAGATTATCATTCATTGCAATGTTAGTATGTCAATGAAATACCAGATAATTGGAAGGGTGATAGATATCAAATATTTGAGTGTTGAGACCTGGGTCCCGGAACTCAGTACATGATGCTCGGTTCATTCAAATTTCGGTAGTTGGAGCTTGGCACTTGGCACTCGATAGTCCCACCCATCTATATCATATAACAACCTTGGCCCACCCATCAACATCATATACATCTGGGCCCACCTGTGTATATGACAACAATTACCCTTGGCCCTACCCGTCTAAGTGATACCCATCTACCTTGGTATATGCATCTACATAATATCCAACTACCTCGGCCCATCCATCTATATAATACTCATGTACATCGGCCCACTCATCTACCTTACTTATTCCTGACATGGGCCCACCCACCTCCATTGGGAATAATATCAATCCTGGCCCATCCATCATCTTATATGGGATATTATGTACGTCCGTTCACTCATATAATACGGAGTTAGGTCACTGTAGTATGTGCCTCCATCCAATAAACCAATCCCCTTATTCCTTTCCACTCTGACATACTTCCACTCCATCTGCCCTGCTCCTAGTCAGGCCCACCACTAGTAGCCTTTACCTCCTGACCCTCAAAGTGGTCCAAAGTGGTCTACCCGTCCTATCATCAGATGACATTGGTCCTACTCCAAATTTGGGGCACGTACTCAGCTAAGGGCACAGTGCAAGAGCTGAAGCCAAGCCCCAACCCCTCCGCTTCTCCATCCAAGCATGGTACCTAATAACATGCCAAGACCACCTCGGTCAAAAGACACATGGTCAAAAGACATCTGGTCAAATATGATGGATGAGGGATTACCAGGATCTGATCCATAATATACATGCCAAGACAACCTTGGTCAAAGACACTTGGTCAAATATGATGGATGAGGGATTGCCAGGATTTGGTGTGGGCAGCCACATTGCAGTATTGCACAGAGTGTAAAAAATTGGTCACACAACACCTGGCTGAGTCATATGCAATGGTTTTGCTGAGATCACATCAAAGTGGGTAGGGCAATATCAGACTCCATGCCACCAGTCATATATGGAGTGCCAAACAATGGCAAGAAGATATTGGTGAATTGTGCAAGTTGGTGAAGTTTTGGTTCTGTGGAATCTCATTGGCATGTGTGATGTGGCAACCGAGAACAGGTGATTGGTCACATGGAGTATAAATTGGTCAAATCTGAACAGACAAGATAAACTGAAGGATACTGTGCCAACTGCAACAAACAACCAAAATACATTCTGCTAACATGCTGTCAGTACTTGTATCACAGGAAAGAGAGTGAATATACATGGAATCAATGCCCAAACAATTGAATTTGAAAGTAAGTAATACAAGTCCATTGTAAGGAGCGAATTCCACTACGACCTCAGCATGACAGCGGCCGATTCGAGTAGTGAGCCTATAGTGTTCAGTTCGAACCTGGGGGAAGCAGAACAAAGCAAACCGAATTGCTGCCTCAGTATAAAATATGAGGGGCGCAACAACAAGTCAAGGCGACCGATCCAATATATGCTCAGAGCAAACAGCTAGTCGTAAAGCCGATCAACTATAATTCCTACCGACCAATATGCAGTTGCAAGTGAATGCAGCCAATTTAAAGGATGAGATGGTCAATGATGAACGGAAGACTAAGAAAAATGTGCAGATGGACACAGGAGTAGAATTGGAAAGGAACGGGACACCAAAGACATGACTTCTGAGTGAGAATTAACTGCCTTTCAACAACAGGCATGCACTACTTAAGTACACATCAGCTACGAGGTAAGGAATGGAGATAAACATCGCTTGGAACATCCAGGCTACCTCGTGGTTCGCTAGAGATATGCGCGGGACATGCGGTCGACTCTCCGTGGTAGTGCATGGGGATATTGGGGAGTAAATCGGTCCAAGCTGCTTAAGGCGACATAATAGGGGAGATTGGGAGGTAAGAGTACTGTAATTGTCAAATATACCAAAGAGAAGTGTACTACACACCAGTGAACAAGGATGAATGGATATGGGGTTCGTCTGAGGATCTGTGAGCTAGAAGGGCAGAATACGTGCACAACTGACCAATGTCGCGTGTGTATGTTGATCGGCCTGACTCGCACCGCTGTGCTGGCTTGGGTGTATATGAGTGCAGGTTTGATCGGCAATGAGTTGGATAGAGTGGGAATAATCAGGGTGCATATTGTACATGGTCGGCAGATGAAGGGAATACTATGATGATGCTGATCAGTGTCCCACACCGTGATACACCAGGGTAATTCTGCCAACAGATGCATGCTCTATGTACAACTATGTAGTCTGCCAAATGATCAGGGGAGAGACTGTGCAGCTGAAGCAGGTGATTTTCCAGCATAATTTGGTCCAACTACAGCAGGAGTGGATGAAGGACTGGCATGTGCTGACACCAAGGATGCTTGGCCAGATGTGAATGTGTTGCCCCACATGTCAGGGTGACCAAAAGGGCAAGATGCTGAAGGGCCTGCAGCAGATGCCAAGGTACCAACCAAAGGGCTGTACATACTGTTCAAGTACCTCATGCCCAATGCTTGCACCTGTGTGGCGGCCAAGGTAGCACCAAAGTTGCTGATCATCAGTGATGGGAACAATGGGTTGGCAACGGTATGTGCCTGCCAAAGCTTCTCCACTAGGCTGACCAGGCCATTAACGAGTGTGAAGGTGGCGCTGAGATCAAGCTGCATGAAGGAAAGCTCTGCACACATTAAGGAGATACAGGTTTTGTAGTCCTGTTCCACCACATCAACCCTGGCAAGGGTATTCTGGTCAGTGATTTGCATGGCAGCAACCTGAGCAGCCAGGGAAACCACACATTTGTGGGTGATGCTGATAGTTGGTGGCAGAGATGCCAAAGGAAGGGAAACATCTCTGGCCACAGGAGTTGGTGTTGGAATCACAAACATCAGGAAATCACTGAGTTACTTTTTGCACTTAGAACTACTTAGAAATATCACTAAGGCAGTCAAGGAATATAAGTCACTATTTGATAATTTTACTAAGGCCCAAGAGATGTTCAAGGCAGCAAAGGCGCAAAAGTGAGATCAAAGCTATTGAGCACAATGAAAATTTTGTGGTTTATTTACATTATTTATCTGGCTCAAGTGTTGAATACTCAAAAATCAGTGTGCAAGACAATCAGACTCATCACTGGCAGCTGCTATATTTCAACAAAAAATACAGTAAAGTAAGTTTTATTTGGACTTGGCATCACATTAATCATTGATTAACATGATTCCACCCAATTATTATAAGGTGTCCAGTCAGTTGGTGGGGCATCCATATGAGGTGATGGAGGTGCATCCCAGTCAATGAATGTGCCATTAGCATTGCATTTAAGTCCTGAGTTGTGAAATAAACATATAAGCATGATAGAAAGACTCTTTAAAAACACTTACCTGTCATGTGCAGATGGAAAGTGCGGAATAAATGCCCCATATCCACCCAAGTACCTTCCTCAGGCACAAACCCTGGATTCTGCTGCTGGTCTGCAGCATCATTGTGATGAAAATCATTATTAATGCCTTGATTTTCACCTGCTGGAGTGGGAGAATGTTCCCTTGCAGGTATAAATCCAGGACCTGCAAGTGAGACAGTTTCTCACCAAATTTGTGGAGGTAGTGCATGCTTCCTGTGTGTGTGTTGAGTGAGGCCGGACTTGTTTTTGAAGACGCAGTTGCAGTTTGGAAAGGGACAAACGGGCCTACTGATGCCTGGTGCCATGTTGAGCAGTGAGTAGTTGTGTGGATGGATACCAGGAACCCACAGTATAGTAGAGCAAACCAGAAAATAGGCTACTAGTAAGTGTGTGAATGTTCAATTGAATTGAATTAAAAGCTTACTGGTTTGTTTGCCTCTTTTCTACCAGCATCTACTTCACTCCAAGACAACACCCCACTGTCCTTTCAACAGCCCTTCAATGCTCTTTACATGGCTTGGCCCGCAACATGCCCCAGCAAAGCTCACCTTTAAAGATGGTGTCAGCTCCAGTCAAAATGTTTCTAACACCAGTGTATCTGCTTTGAGTGAAACACATGTTGGAAGTCCTGATGATGGGAAAATTCACAAGACTTCCATGTGAGTTCCTATTCTGAACTATGATGTTGCTTCTATTAGAACTGATGCTTTATTATTTTGATGTCTTTCACTCACTGACATGTAGTGCCACATCTGGGTCCTTGGCTCCTTCAGAGGGAGCAGGAGTAGGAAAATGGGTGAAAAATGTAGCATCAAAGCCTCAATTAAAGCCCTCTGCACCACCTAGTACATGTGGTGCTCAACTTTGGGCTACCTGGACATCAAACAGTGCTTGTACTCACTATGGCAGCTGTAAGTTTGCTACTGTCCTTATGAAACTTTATGAAACTTACTGACCTCACATTTGCAGGCCAAGCATGCACTCACTTTGGCTTGTGATGACCTCATCATGGGAGACACTTCGGACCATGGCAAACATAAGATCACATTGACATTCAACCAAGCAACCAACAAGATGAGCAATATCACAATACATCTTTCTCCCATATCTATTTTACATACACACTCACCTTATCAGTACATGTTTCATCCACATTCATGTTTTGTTATCTGTCTCAATGATCCTTTGATATTCAGTGTCCATACTATTCCCTTCCCTTAGTCTTTCTAACTAAGACTGAGGTGAGCTACTTACTACGACTCCTCTGCATACTTAGTGCTAACAGTGCATAGTTCTCTCTTACTCGTTTCTAGTATGCAGCCTCTCCACTTCGCCAGAAGCAACACTGGTGCTGCATTTTCATCTAGGTAATTGGGAGACAGACACAATCACATACATGGAACAAATCAAGGAGCTGCCCTTTGACCATGTGCAGGAAATCATTGTGCGATCTCTACCTTATGTGAAGCATGCACGCCGCAGGGGTCAGGATGAAGATATTCTCGATGGTGACAGTTATATGCCTGTGAATCCGCGCTCATGCATCTGCATCTGTAGTGTCTTTTTATTTCTTTTATATTTCCTTGCTCTAACATTAATATTTGACAGGAATTAGTTGGCCACTACTAGCATGTGTACTCAACCCCTGCTTCAATTGCATCACTTACTCGTGCTCAGGCTATCATGTGCTTTTGGACACCTTTTTTTATTTTTTATTTTTATTTTTATTTATTTTTTAGTGGAATTTAATCTTCCTGTTTTTTGCCTTAGCTTACCTTGATTGTTCCTTGTGTCTGTCTCAATAATAGTATTTTTGACCACCTTATTTGCCTTGATGGAGTATTCTAAGGAGAAGTTCCTTATCTCCTTGGTTTAAGGGGATGGGCCTCCTTTTTCTCCTTATTCTAAGTGTGAATGAACGACCTTGAATTTACCTTATTGTGTGAATTAAGGTAAGTAAGGAACAAATTAAGTCCGAAAAGGAACTTGGTGATTTCCTGATGAAGTCATCTGAGTAGATTCGTCTCCAAGACCATGATTACCTCACTGGTCCTGGCCAAGGCATGTACAGTGCCGCAGACATCAACATTTTCCCATGGTATGTTTTTTCAAGCTCTGTTTCCATTTGTTATGTTTTACTGAAAGGGCGTTGTAGGATTTGCATTCATTCATTTGCAAGTATCGAATCCATTGATGAATGGCCGCATCTCAAGGTATGCGCACCTCAGGCAGTACATCTCGGTGCCAATAAAGGGTCTTTCAGACCCGGTTTCTATGTCATGGGAGACTGGGCTGAAAGACCCTCATCTGGGAGGATCCTCCATTTGTAAATATAGCCTACAATCTAAAAATATCATTCTGCCTCATTGCCCTCCTGCTTTGCACTTGCACCTGTGCAGCGCGCTCCTCCTGTGCATCCTGTTCAAGACAATTGAATGCCTCAGGCAGCTCGGCACCTTGTGCTATTCGCTATACCTCCATACTGTTTACATTCTATCCCAGAGCATCCAATGCCGCCTCAATGGCACTGGTCCTTTCAAGTTGGTTATCTTTCTCAATTCTCAATTCTCCTGCTCCAACCTCCAAGACATCATGGCCCCACATGCAGGTACCTGTGCTGCTCAACCTGGCACTTCATCCGACCTGGGTACCCACTTTGCCAGCCCACAGAAACATGTTCAACTAGACTATACTGCACAGACATGCTAGGAGTGCCTCTCGAACCAGTACCAAAATTTTTGTCATTGTGCAGCTTGCACACATGTGCACAAAAATGCACATCTCTTACCTATCTCTTTTTGGCTGTAAGTACTTGGTCGCATACTGTTACGGTTGTCTGGGACACCTTTCATTTTCATCACCTCTTCACATTGACACCATGTCACAGTGTCACCATTTCCTGATATCACCCTATCTAGGGTTACTCTCTGACTTCACCTTATCACAGGTGTACACCCCTATTCATTGATCTGAGATCTCAATCTATCCTTGGCAAGTCCTCAGATATTACTTACATGCTGATACCTAGTGTATTCTCACAGACCCTTAACATGCATACACCATGTGTATTCCCATGGACACTTATCTATACTTATATGGACATATTACTTACTTACCCTAGACCCTGGACCCTGACTTACTATTGTATATAAGCAGGTCGTAGTCTCAATGATTCCTCATCTTGACCTACGCTGGAATTACCCAGATACATCCTCAGACTACTAGTTAGACACTAGTGAATCCACCTTGATTCCTTTGACTTCTCTAGAGTGCCATCTCTAGAAGATTGATTGACTTGAAACCTCCTCTGATTACCATCAGCGTAACACATACATGGAGTCTTGGCTAATGTCTTTCAGATTTCGTCTCCATCGATGCGATGAGCTGTAGATGCGCTAACTTAGCGCAAACACTTGTTTGCCACAGCTTGTTCTCTACGGCTCCCTCCTAGCCCCACATGGCTACATCTGTCGAGCTTCTCGCCTTCTGTCGCTCTCTTTTTGAGCACTCGTGTGATGCCATCAATGCACTTGCATCCGCACTCAACACCCACTACATTTGATGAGGATACCAAATAACAAATGCAAAGGTATGTCTGGGTCGACTTTGGATGCTTGTTCAGCTACTCATATTAACCAGGGTGATATCATTCAAGAACCTTTCCAGTGGAGTCTAGGTCACGCCATCCAGTGGTTTGATGTCCTGCAGATAGAAGTTGGGAGCCAGTTAGAAGTGGCCATACAACCTTGTGGTGATCATGTGGAAGCTCTACAGGCGGCTTCAGTGCATCCTCACCCATCCGGCACAGCAAGGTCTGAATCGCCTGGAGCCGGAGAAGAGAAGATACTGCAAGAGCGCTGTGCTTCCATCCTCATCCAATGATGTCCAGCCTACCCAACCACACCTTCCAGCGCACAACAGCATCCACTGCTACCTCCTGATTGCACCCTCCAGCACTCGCTACTATCTCCGCTATATCATTCCGCATGGCCCTCATCATAAATCATCCATGCTCTCATTCCTGCCGTGCTACCTGCTCCCGCACAGTTGCAGACCTCGTCAATCGGTGATGCTCTTGCTCTCGCTGTAGTACAATGCATGTTTTTGTAATAGCTACTTTATATGATCTGTGTGCTATGGTCTACCCAAGGGTAAACCCTGCGCAAACCTTATGAGGACATATGAGGCAGCCCAGCTTAAATATGTACAGCTAGTCAAACCAAGTTTGAACTAGGCACAGTGTCATATACCTGATCCAACCGCTCTGATATTGATATCCGCTCTGCTTTCTGACCCCCTCCGCTCCACCCATCCTCCACTCCGTCCAATCACAAGTCCACATTCCGCCCCTATGCTTCCGCTCAACTGCTCAACCGGTCCCCTTCCATAACCTCTCCATTCAACTGGATCTCTTTCCCCTTTTAGATATATACTTTCCCCTTCGGTACATAGACCCTTACTTCCGGATCACCAGTAATTCCTATTACCGCCCGATCACTGATCCGATGCATACATATTGATATCCACTCTGACTTATGTCTTCACCTGTGTAAAGTACTTACAAATTATATCCTTGGTACATAGCTTTACAACATAGTTATCCTGGTCACTGCCTCATACATAGTAGTATATAACATATCATGTACTTAGATATTTTCCTCAGTCTTAATATTACTTGTCTTCTTGCAGTTACATCTTGTGAGAATTCTGAGTAGAACTTTGCCTCCTCTGGACACAAGTCTCAACTTGTTGTCACCTCTGACCCTCCGACCCTCCTGCTCTGACTTAGAGCTGTGCTCTAAGTCTTTCCCTTATTACTCCACCCCTATCAAATATCCTCCTTCGCCCCTCCGCATTATCCTCTGCCTTCCCCGCCCCTACCAACATTCCCCCTGCTCCTATCCACTCTCTGCATCACTCCCCACCTTCTCCGCTCTGCTCCTAGTCGGCCCACCTGCTAGTAGCTCTTACTCCCCGACCCTCAAAGCGGACCAAAGCAGACCACTCGTCCTACCATCGGACAACGTCGGACCCGCTCCAAATTTGGGGCACGTACTCGGCTAAGGGCGCAGTGCAAGAGCTGAAGCCAAGCCCCAACCCCTCTGCTTCCTGAGTCGGCATGGTATCTAACACACAGTCTCTATGTACTAAAGTCTAAGCCTCAAATGGAGTTGGAGTTTTGATGCTATGAAGCTTGATAGTGCAATACCTTGTACAATACATTGGTATCACTGCGAGTAGCAATGGGCAGCTCACTGTAGTAGCCTGTTGGTTGAGTGCACTGTTGGGGATTCTAATGGTTGATATAAATAATGAAGTATGCAGTGTTTTCTGTTAAATCTAGACACAGTTAGATCCTCAGTTGTGTGCGTAACAGACTGAGATTGCTATGTACCTAGACACAGTTAGATCTATCGTAGGTAGATTATTAGTGTCTGTACATAGTCGGGAGAGAAAATAGATAAAATGTACCCTCAGTCGTGTGCGTAACAGACTGAGGGAAAAGGGAAAACGAACATGAACCATTATATATACTTTTGGTTGGCATTCTGCGGCGTCGCGCTCGTCATGTGCATGTAATGTGTGCCAACACTCCTCCTCGACGCGACGTGTGCTCCTCCTCGACTGATTCACCGTAGTCCAAGGTATGCGCGCAGGCTGGATGTAGTCTGGTTTCGCTAGAGCCTTGGTAAAAATGTCCATGAGGTTTTCTTTGGATCGTACATAGTGTAGTTTGAGTTGTCGCAAGGAGACTTGTTCGCGGATGGAATGATATGCCATGTCGATGTGCTTTACTCAAGCATGGAAGGAGTTGTCTTCGGTGAGTACGATCGCACCATTGTTGTCACACATGAGGGGGGAAGCGGAAGATTGAGTGAATTCAAGTTCATGGAGGACAGTGCGGATCCATTTGATTTCTTTGCCAGCCTCGGATGCGGCGACGTACTCGGCTTCGCAGGTGGAGAGGGCGACAGTCTTCTGTTGCCGTGCGCTCCATGTGACAAGTCCGCCTCCAAGGGAACAGCAGTATCCGCTGACCGATCGATGCGTGTCGACGCAGCTGGCAAGGTCGCTGTCAGTGTAGGCGAGAAGATGCGCGGTGTGGTCCCCACTGAGAACAAGATGGAGCTCACGAGTGCCTTTGAGGTAACGAACAATGTGTTTGGTGGCCTCCCAGTGGACGCGCCCGTAACTGTCAAGGAATTTACAGAGTTGTTGGACAGCATAAGAGATATTGGGGTAGGTACCAATCACTAAGTACATGAGAGAGCCAATGAGTGAGCAGTATGGGGTACTGGGCCATGAGGTCGCGTTCGGCATCATTAAGGGGGGAGTGATCACAATGAGACAAGTGGAGGCCAGGTTCCATGGGGATCAGCACGGGAACGGCGTCCTTCAGGCCGAATTGTGTGATGATGCGATTGATGA